CGCTCCGCGCGGAGGGAGGGCGGGGGAGCGTCTGGCGACCCCGCCGCCCCGTTCTGTGCCCGTCTGTTCCGTGCAGTGTCGCGCCGCAACGGGCGGAGCCGGCGCGAGACCCAGAGATCAGCGCTCTAACGTTACGCTTTGAATGGCATTCCTGACAGTTTCGGCGCCGTTTGTGCCGGCACCATGGCCCATTTGACGGCGACAGTCCCGGCCCTACCGAGTCGGCCCCTGGGGGGTGATGTAACGATGACACTGAGGCGACTCCAGGCCAAGGATTGCCGACCTCCGTGGAACGCCAGGAGATGTCCTGATCATATGATGCAATGTGACATTCGTTACGCATTGAGGGCGCGAAAACTGGCGATTCATCGCAGCCGTCGGAACCAGGCAAGCCCTCTGAGCTCCCAGCTCCGAGATGCAGGCGGGTCACACTTCCGAGTTAGGCAGCGTCACACGTGAAGCCGTGATGTCACACGTATGACGTTTGCAGTAAATGCGTCACTTCGTGATCGGAGGTGCAACCAAGCGAGTCGTTGCGCAGTCTCAGCTAACGGGGCTCAACCGCACGCGTGCCGGTCCCCCAGGGAGGAGGAATAGGCGGGATCTTTTCCCGAGAAGGCGACCACTCCCCAATCACATACTCGTACGTGGCTGAATCTACATACGAGCGGACAGGGCGCCGTCGCTCTAGCTCACCATAAACACGAAATGAAATGAATGAGGAGAATGTGGTATACAGAACGTCAGCCTAAGCTAGAAAAAAATATCGTACCTCATGTTTTGCATAAAACATCAGCACTTTACACTCTTTTGTCTGAAACAAATTACACGGCGAGCTCTTGACAAATCAATTTAACTCGCAATATTCCATAAATATTGGCCACAGCAGGTCTCGTGATGGCCACAGCAGGTCTCGTGAGAAGGCATGCTAGTCGTGCACCAGTTCAGTATTTATTGACTTATCTGAAGCCGTGAAGATGCATTGGGTTCGGTGGCCGGTCGACCCCGCGAACTGTGAGCCGACGCGGAGAGCAGCACGTCACGATCAGGCATCAACACAGTTCAGCAGTCAGTAGTCACACCCAGCACAAAAGGATGATAATGTAAATAACAAACAATAATACAAATGCAGTATGTATATTGAATCCACTTTGTATCCGAGTCTACATTCATAGACACAGTGATCAAGGTTCTGTGAGCCTAAAGCTTTGCATGTATAACTACATTGCATTTGTATTAAATGGTTTACCCAATATTCACATTATTATCCAACCTGTCATGGATAATCAACTAGGAACAATGGTGATCTAAATCTTCATCCTTTGATGGTTCGTCAATAAGGCAATGTCGTACAGCTTGAGTTATCATGCCAAAAGTTCTCATGCAGCTATAAGTTCTCATGATAGCGTTCGATAAACACGAATTTAGAAACATAGAAAAAAAAATCATTTGACTTTTACCTCGACAGAATCGGGAAGCGTTTACAAAGCTTAAAACTATCCCATACGTATTACGCAGTTTATCATCGGAAATCAGTTAGGTGATGTCTGTGTATTTAACCGGAGTAGGTGTCCCTTTTCCTCTTGACCACGGAACACTCGTCATCATGCAATCTCCTATGGACACGCAAAAACTATATAACTTGGGACCCAGTCAGGGTTGGGTACACTGGCGGTCGCAGCCGCTAGCAAAAGGGGGGCCAAACTCACACTCGCGGGACATAACATTTATCCGTCACCGGAGGGGGGGGGGAGGGGTGATCGGCTAATGTTTTACGTCCACGAGGCGCCGCGCAGTTGGCACTACTTATGCTTCATCCATCTCATTCTTGCGTGGAATCTTTAAGCTAAATTTAAGGCAAAATCACCAGTTCCATTTCCCTTCCCGGGGAGTTTCCACCGGTCGGGCCACTGCACCATGGCGACGGATCGGTGTAGCATATACTGGAAGGTCGGGCACGCGGATTCATGATCTTACCACTATAAAACAATTCGGAAAAGTACAGATACCTATCTCTTGCTTTGAACAAGCATGTGAAACCCAGAGAGCATTTTCAGACTTTGTGGCGGCGGGAGAGAGTAGGTACACCGACCTCTGGAGACCAAAGGTTCCTGGCTTTCAAAATTGGCATCTGAGGGCCGCGCACGACTCCTACGGGCTTCGCAACGGCTCTATTGGGGCTCACTCAACCTGTCTAGTCCTCATGCTAAAAAGACTGGCCCTGAGCCCTGAGGACTTCATCAGTCTCTGCCAGCCCCAGGACCCACAACGGCTCATGGGGTCCCGACGTAGAAATATGAGGGAATCTACGCGGGACCATCAGAACGTACAGTGACCTCGATCAGGACCAACGTAAGGCTGTGCAGGTCGCAGGAGTCTGCGTAAGCCCTCTGATCTTTAGAAGCCCACCCATGTATGTTTTCACTTAGAGGCCAGTTTAGGGCCCTCGGAGACCAGCTGTACAGGGCCTGCAAACTGCAAAGGCCAGTAGTTTGAGACCATCAGAGACCGAGGTGGGCTCTCAGAGGCTAATGTGGGTCCTTACTCATTACAGGCCAACATGGGGCCCTCAGACGTCAGCGTGGGGCTCTAAAAGACCGGCATGAGCCGTCGTTGGACCCCATAGGCCAGCAGAGGGCCCTCAAATGCCAAGAAGGGCCCTCCTCAGAGGCCAATGCAGACCCTTAGAGGCCGGCATCGGGTCTTTAGCAACCAGTGCGGGGCCCTCGTTGGCACCTAAAGGCTCGTCTTGGGACACCAGAGACAGAAATAAGGCCACCAGAGACCGGTGTGCGACGCTCAGACGCCGGTTGGGGCCCCTGAGGCCGGTTAGGGGCCCTCATAGGCCAGATGTGGGGCTTCAGAGGTCGATGTGGGCTCTTAGCGGCCAACGTGGGCGCTTGACCGCCACTGAAGTTCCCTCAGAGATCAGTGTAGCACGCTCAAAGACCGGTGTGGGAGCTATATTAATAGCTGGGAGTGTTGTTGTTTTTCTTTAGCCTCGTGACGATCGAATAAGGGCTAGGGCCCCATACACCTATGGGGGCCCATCGGTTGTTTGAGGGGGAGGGGGGCAAATTATATGATGGCCCCCTTTATTTGCCTTTGGGGGGGGGCATGGCCCTGATGCCCCCCCCCCCGCGACCGCCACTGTGTACTACACACAGGCCTCTGAGATTGCATACTAGCTCATGCAAACTCTATGCAAGCCCCGAAGGTCCCACGCTAATCCTTAAGAAACCAAACCGGCATACGGCGTCACCACCGGGCTTCTGAGGTGCACGGCACCAACCCATGAGGTCTTACTTTAGTGTCGTAGAGCCACGCTCATTTGGCAGGGCCCACCCGCCACTGCCGAAGAGGGTCTCATGCCAGCCATTGCTGGGCCTACGAGAGCCTCAAGTAAACCCACGCTGATATTCCATATAAGATCCGGCCATACTCGTGAACCGGTGCCAGCGACACTGACCGCCAAATTGACAGAATGCGAAACTGAGCCCACTCATGAGTGAAATTTACGTCCTTTGATGGCGCAAGAAAGAAAATGAAACATACAAAAAGTTTTCAAGACCTTTGTTCGATCTGAAAGGTGGGGCCAAAAGATAGTATGGCCCCACCTTTCAGCACCAAAGGGGGGCCATGGCCCCCGTGCCCCCCCCCCCTGGGACCGCCTATGGTTGGGTACCGGGGTACCACCGTTGCTGTAAAGTAATGGAAACGACCTCAGGAGAGAACGAATCGGCGGCCTCCCAAACCACCTCTCCACATCGAGACCATAAAATCAGGTGATTCTGCAGTAGCAGCATCCACCATTTCCATATTTATAGTTTATCAGTATGCCCCCGCCCTCATTCATCTATAGCCACGTAGAATATTAGCGAAGGCTAAACGTGATTTGGCCCGCTAGCAGCGGATGGTTTAGATACTTGGAATTCTGTCCAGCAATCAGGCTACGCCCAGGCAACACCTTTCGAGACATGGCTGCTAATTCTAGAATCGAATACGTACAGTTGATAACATATGTAATGATGTTCCATTTCTGACAGGCCATCGGTAGCCTGGAATGGTAGGCTGTGCCGCATCACACGGGCTTAGGGATACATCTTGTTCATGTGACCTTTATACGCTCGCCATGCATATATGTATGTAGACATTCCTCATTTCGTGATAAGCGGCGCAACATAGCGCTCTAGTCAACTGATGGCTTGTGAAGGAAGGATCATCACTCTTAAGTCATCAGTCAACTGTGCAGAAAATGAAATATGGGTGGAACTTTGTGCTGAGCTGGCGGTGCCCGGGCACAACAAATCCGCCGCCGCTATTGCAGTGATCTTGACCTCCGCCGTCTGTTGCGGCTCCAATGCCAAGTCGACGTGAAATTGGGAGGGCTCGGGCAACCCCAGCTCGGCACAAACTTCCACTTATGCCTACAGTAATGTGTGGGGAAGTTGTATAGTTCTGTGTCTATATTTGTAATGTGTGGAAATTCTGTGCGGTAGATATGAGAAAAACGTAGCGTAAATTCAGGTCACAAAATGTAACGAATCATCGCGTGGTGCATGGCTGACAGAGCTAAAGCTACAACAATGGAAGGCATCTTAAAAACAACCACTGGACAGGCCTGACTTTTCCATAGCATCACGATTTCCACCGAATAACGGCTTGACTGTGGTCGCAGCGCGAATCACACACATTCCATTAAACCCCACTCACGGGTAACTTCCCTGTCCATGTCGCAGTAATGTGCGTGTCAAACGGGCCTTGGACGACTAGCGGTCATCGGCAGCGACACCATTCGCCTGCAGCTCTCCCTTCTAGCGTGACCCTTCGAGGAAACTAGCACCGATACCACCGTTACATACCTTTCCCAACGGGCGCGGCAGTTCATCAACGGCACTGACAAATGCCGTTAGTTCGATCGGTGCATTTTCAAGAGAAACAAACAGTCGTCGCTTTTCCCCCGGAGCCCCGAGTGCAGCCGCGGCTGGCCGAAGAAGAGTGACCAGTGACCACGGCCCGAGTCGTTACATCATGCGCGCTCGCGTATAAATGCGGCGGGCGCCGGCGGTGGGCATCAGTGCACGCTCAGTGACAGACGAGAGAGAACAGACGCCGACAGCACTCGTACCGAGCGGACTATTGGACCCTGAGGAGAGCGGCACAGCAACAGAAGGCCCATCAAGGTGAGTGAGGGCACCTGGTAACGGCTCCGCCTCACACCGACCGCAGGTGTCGGGTCAGTGTCAGACGGGGACTGGTATCCGTCTGAGCTCACGTTAACAACAGCACACACTGAGGAAGTCGAGAATATACATAGTGCTGTAAATTTGGCTGCGAGCCAGCCGCACTGTCAGTCATGACATATATGTCAAATAGTAAATACTGAGAAATTATGCTGAGACAATCGGCGTTAGATCATGGTGGTTTAATAGCTGGGTTCGATACATATCTCGAACGAGCACAATGTTTGATGTTTTAGCGCAGTGTCTTGCTCTAAATGGAAACACAGTGACAGATCTTGAATAAGAGCGCTGGAGGACAGAAAAAGCCGTTATATTTTGACTTGTTTATAAAGTAGATCGCCGACTGCGGCCAAGGAACCCACGGCCACCGCTGTCACAAAATCCCAAATGTTATGACGTGCGAACGGGTCATTTATCTAAAACGCCACGGTCAATCAGTGGAACCAGTGTAAAACAAACGTCTGTGGCGATAGCATGCCAGCGCCGACCGCGGAAGACAGGGTCGTGGAGCACACTCGTGCCATCAGTCACCAAAAGAAGTGACAGCTACACGTCCCAGCGGTGTCAGGACGAGCGGTGCCCGTCCATGTCCGGTGCTGTGCGGGCGGGGGCGGGGGCGGGGGCGGCTGCGCGGCCGCCGGTGCTCAGCGCTCGGTCGAGCTCGACTCGGGGTCGCTCCGGAGGCGCCGGCCGGCGCGGAGGCACAGCGGCGAGCGCGGAGAGTGAGGAGTGTGAGGAGTGGAGCTGTGTCTGAGTGAGGTGGTGCCGGCCCGGGGGTTTGAGGTGGGTACCACCACGGCTGGTCGTTTGTCCACCCAGTGTTCCACCGTCTCTCAATAATAATTTGAGCCAGGCAAAATAATGGGCTGCAGAGCGACTCGCTTCCGCGTGACTTCGAAAAAAAAAAATGTCACGAAGTTTTTAGCCAGGGACGTCATGATGAGTGAAGCATGTATAAATTTATCAAGCAGCACATTTATAATAATGACCATGTTAACAAGGTTTGATAAGCAGCCGAAATGAAGTGGCTGCGTGCGCGCATGAAGCGCGCACGTTGTTTCAATTAATCTTGCACAGCGGATATCCCACACAGCAAAGGATAAGTTAAGACGGCGGTACTGGAAATAGAAGCGGCGCTTTTACCCTAATCACGTCACGAGCACACTAATTTGCAGTAGTGCTGGGAATAATCAGGGCAGAGTTTGCAACAAAGTTCGCACGTTACCCATTGCAGACAAAAACTGCAAAAAGTATGGCATGTAGAGGACGGTTTGTTTGATAATATCAACACGCTCATTGTCCCTGCGCTCAGACAACGGTCGTCCATTAGTCTAAACAACCCAACTTTATCGCACTAATTCTGAAAATTATTGTCAGAGCGCTAACGAAGCCGTCCTCTTCCCAAACTTTGGCCAGCTGTGTTGCCCGTGCAAAGTGCTCACGCTGCAGGTAATTAATGCGACTGTATATAGTGAAATTGTGTGGAAGCGAGCCCACTGTAAATTCTGCGTACTGTTGACTGTCAGAAGTAAATCGGTATCTGTTTATATAACAGCGCAAAAAGTAATGACCTAGAGGCCCGGGATGTGGTATAAAAATCAACCTTTAGATCAAAGGGTCGAAACAAAAAATGGTATCAGCTACAAATAAGCTTTAAAAAAATAAACCAAATAATTCAAAGCATGAGGTCTAACAAGATCAGAAAATAACCGGACGTATGCAGCTTTGCAATCTTGGTGTTGAAGTATTTTCCTGGCCAACCAATGTTATGATTGAAGGGCGGGACAATAACATGGAGCAATATTGTTCGCCTACGGGCCGGTTTTCACTTGGCATCTCATCACACCGAACCATTAATCCAGCCAGAGTACCGGCAATAGCATGTCGATGGTGGCACTATTTTAAGTCAACAAATAGTCCGACCCCTAGCCATTCTTTCAGCAATAAAACGTGAACAGCCAATAGCGCTGGCAATGACCGGGCGCAGTCGTCTGCATGTGATGAGTTAGCCCAACCCTGCTCTGACTGAAGGTTCGCGCCCTTGTGTTGCAGTAATGCAGACAGTTGCACTGTTGGCGGCAGCGGCAGCGGTAGCGGTCGTGCTGAGGCCCGGCGAGGCTAGCCCCCTGCGGCCGGACGCCGCTGCCGGCCCGGAGCCGGTGTCCATCGAGCACATACCGTCCACCACCACGGCGAGCGGAGGAGAGCGGCGGCCGGCCCCGGCGGACCGGCTGCGGGCCGACACCAGCACCAGCGGCACCAGCGACACCAGCGGCGTGACACAGGTGAGCCCAGCGGCACGGAGCAGACGGGACGGCAGAACGAGCGGTGGAATTAACCGATCAACGTGATATGAAAGGCGAAATATCGAATGTGTTCAATCACAGACCGACCCATTGATTTGTCTCCGATTGTCGTATTCATTGATAAACGAATCTAAAACATATTACAAAGGAAAGCACGGAATGTAAGACATGACATAAAGCAGCACTTAATGCATCCTTAGAAAAATCAAGAGCGATCGATTCGATCCTATAAGAAGTGAAGGATGAGTAACAGGCCTAGCTCATCTACAATCTTCTCGAGGCGACCTTTCAGAAAATATCTTGTTTATTTCCCAAACCAGCCAATTATCAGGGTTGGTAATCAGAGTCTGGTGCCATGTGCCGGCTTTCCCCGTCCGCCCATGGCTGACCAACAATATCCCGGCTGCTGGCAATTAGTGCGTCGAATCAATCGGTTCGCCGCGCTGGTTCATCAATTACCGTCCCTGGTAGAGTAGGTGGTAAGGAGAACCGCGCCCGCCCGCTCTCGGCCTGTGTTCGGCCTCTCCGGGCCTGTGCTCGGCCTCTCCGGGCCTGTGTTCGGCTTCTCCGGGCCTGTGTTCGGCCGCTCCGGGCCTGAGCCTGGCGCTAAACAGCCGCCGGGTGACCCGGAGGACACCCCTGTGACCCTCTCCTTCCTTCCTCGGCAGGTCGGCAGCACCGTGCACAAGCGGGAGGCGCTGCCGTCGCCGTCTGCGGCGCTGGTGATGCGTCTGACGCGCCGGAGCGCTGGTACCCACTCACAGCAGAAGAGGGAGGCGTCGCCTGTGACGGGCGCCAGTCTGTCCATCAACAACCCCATCCGGGTGCTGCGAAACCGCCTCACGCTGCAGATGTACCGCCGCTGGAGGAACAAGGTCAGTCTCACTCACTGAACACGCTGAGCTAATTCACTTAGGAGATCTCAAGAGAAACGCATCTCTCATACGTTCCGTTATTTACTTATAAGACTTTCTTGAAAACTCGACTGATTAGTTGCGGGGGTTTCAAAATGCAGAGGGATTGCATGTTTAAGAGGGATCCTGTAATGTGCCAGTCTAGCCAGCAAACTCGTATTGACTAGAGATGACATGGCAAAATATGAGGAGAGTCTGTCTAAACTAAAACTTACGACAACGAGAGAGACAGCGTCGAAAGTTGGAGCGGATAGTATGATGTATGTAGCGTGATCGGGCGTCGCACACGCTGCGAAAACTTGCTCTTATCTCATCTCATCGATCTCATCGATCACATCGAACGTGTATGCTGACGAAGTATGTCCCCCATTCTCAGGTCATGGAGAACTCTGCCTTCCTGCACTCGATGGGGAAGCGCAGCACGAGAGAACAGCTGGAGCGCCGCGATCGGGGTCTCTCAGATAACAGGCAAGTGTCCGCCGTTCACTGTTCGGTGTCGGACCCTGTGTCCGCGGATGGAGTCAGAGGGATCCATGCAGCCTCGTCACCGCACGGCGGGAGGCAGGGTTCAAATGGGCGCGATAAAGACGGCTGGTGGCTGAATCCACAAACATTAGCGCTTTGTCTTCGGGAGGTTCATCCAGTATGGCAGAGTCGATCATATAACAAAGGAACAACGAAAGACTAAAACTAGCCTTCGCCAATTACCACCGACTAAGTGGAATCCCAAATCGCACAACCAACGATCAACGCACAACTTGATTACAAACGTCCCACAATGCGTGATGTGCCACCCGATAGCCGATACCACTTTGGAGAGAAAACAGTTTCGGGCGCTGCAGCAAAAGGCAGACCCGATGCCATGCTATCGCTCGTCGAAACCGCATATCGTGACAGGACAGATCGACCGATGCGTTCGGCTGTTTTGATATTAATATTATTAATGGCTTGGGAGGTCTCGCATGACCGAATCCCCACTGCAATGCAAATATCGTCGTGGTCGTACCGTTGTTCGAAGCGAGGATTGAAGCCCGAGCCGATAGCAGCTCAGAAAATCGAGATGCTGCGACACAGCGGAATGACAAAGCTTTGAGACTTACGTGTTGCAAAGACGTTCAAATGTGATTGTTGACGTACCTGCCTTTTTGTAATGCTGTGTATTTGTTTCTTACAGGTTTTCCGAGGATGTGAAACAATGGCTGCTCTCCTGACTGTGTCTTTGAAGACAGTAGCAAGCTGAAATGAAGGTGAGATGACATTTTGTCATTTACCCGAGATTAAATTAGCCCATGATTTTATCCTGAAATAAGGCCCTCGGTTGATGGTTAAATAAAAAAGGAATACCTAGAACCAATAAATCTAACGGCCTCCAAATTCTTGGCATACGACTAGTCTAATTGGAGCTTTTAAGGAAATGAATTCCGGCTGTTATACAGCGTGCGTCATCATTCTTATCAAAACATGACAAACATGGCAACGTCATTAGTATAGTTGTAAACAGCAGACTTGTGACAGCTCAAGAAAAAAGTGAGCTCGCTCAGCTCAACTCCGTCTTATCCGCTCCCGCTCAGCTCCCGCTCAGTTTAACGCGGCTCAGCTCAGCTCACGTTCCGCTCAAACCGGCTGCGCTCCGCTCACGCTCAGCTCAGCTCAGCTCAGTTTCCGCTCAGCTCAGCTCAGCTCAGTTTCCGCTCAGCTCAGCTCAGCTCAACTCAGTTCCCGTTCAGCTCAGCTCAGTTTCCGCTCAATTCAGCTCAGCTCAGTTTCCGCTCAGAAAAAAATGTACCGACGAAAAAATGCACGGACGAAAAATTAAAAAATGTACAGACAAAAAAATGCGAGACGAAAAAAAGTCGGACGAAAATCTGCGGACGAAAAATTGTCCGACGAAAATCTTCTAGACGAAAAAAAAACGTCATGGAATCATCTCAACTAGGCGGTGTTTCACGGCCGGGAGCAGCACGCCCACGCGGCCATCCGCTCTTGGCACCCTGCCAGGAGCTGACGTTACATTTTGGGGTAGTGTTGGAACTTGGAGATAAGAGTTTGTTTATATCTCCATGGAAACCCCATTTGACACGTGTGATAGCAGCGTGCTGTTATCAGTGAAACCTATAACACCACCCTGATCTCAACCAAGGCAATGTCAACACTATTAGAATTCATAGTCGGCGTGTGAATAAGGGAGCTTTTCCCATATAATGGACATCATAAGGTGAGAGTCCCAGTTAGCGCCTCTGCCCCACCCCACTTTCAATAGGATATGGTTGCTTAGCCCACATTCAACCAACGAAGAGGAACTTTATTTGCTAATTCCTAATTGTAAATATTTTATGCAGAGGTAAGAACCCTTATTGATAAAATTAATTTAAATAACTGCTTAAATGACAAAGTGAAGAATGCGGAATTGTACATTGCGGAGCAGAGTGTCAAGGCGAAGCATCAAAGCCTGACAGTAGGTATTCATCTTGCAGTCAGACTTGAAACTTGAGACTGGCTGTATTAGCCTGTAAATTGGCCAAGACCCTGGTCTTCCAATTTCCATGCAATCTGGGTGAAAGAAACTAAGCTTGATTAGTGATTACTATTGATTTCTTTAGAGTTTTGATATTTTTAAGTGCGATCACGAGGGCAGTGTAATTGCTCACTCCATAGCTAGCTCATAGCTGAAGCATCAAAGCCTGAGTTAATTTCCAAGCATGAACTGAAAAGAATTAGAACTGGATCAGCTCAGCTCAGCTAAATCAGCTCAGCTCAATCAGCTCAGCTCAGCTCGCTCAGCTCAGCTCAGCTCAATCAGCTCAGCTCAGCTCAGCTCGCTCAGCTCAATCAGCTCAGCTCAGCTCGCTCAGCTCAGCTCAATCAGCTCAGCTCAGCTCAGCTCAGCTCAGCTCAGCTCAATCAGCTCAGCTCAGCTCAGCTCAAGCTCATTCAGCTCAGCTCAGACAGCAGCTCAGCTCAATGCATTACTGAGCTGGCTCAGCTCACAGCTCAACAATTTGGCAAAATGTTGAGCCGGCTCATGAGCTGAGCTGATTTTTGAGCCGGCTCAACTGAGCTGATCACAAGTCTGGTAAACAGCAATTAACTTGCCCAGTAATCTTATCGGTCCCACCGAGGAAATGTTTACTGCCGATCTACAGCCACCACAATTTTGGCCATGTCATACGCAATGCCACAGAACCCCACTAACTGGCCTACTTTCTCCGTTGCAGGCAGGAAGTTGATGATCTCAGCCAAAACGGTCCTCCGGCCGCTGGGCATCGCTGTCCCCCGCGGCTACAGACGACACCGCCTGCGCACGCCGGGGTCGGGCGAGGCAGCCTCAGCACGAGGCCGACCGGCGGGTGGGCTGGTCCCGCCCTCCCTCGCGCCCCGGTACGTCCCCGGTACGCCCCCGGGTACGCCCGGTACGCCCCGGCACGCAGTGGTCGTCTCAGGACCGGCTGGTCGGCGCCCGGCGCACCTCACCGCTGACACCAAATCTTTCACCGGCGGACAGCGTGCTTCAGCTGTCGCTGGACGGTCAGAATCTCGGCGCATCCTTCGCTGCTATCCTGCGCAAGTCGCTTCATTCCCAGTTCGATGTGCACCTATTTATCTGCCATTGTTTTTGTTATTGTTGCGTTGGAGCTCGGTCTCATCTGCCCTCGATGGCAGACTATAGGGATGATGTTTGATAATACCTTGTTTTTAAGGTAGCATGGAATAGGAACCGAAATGATTGTCTGATGCTCATGAGGTCTTAACAATTTGCAACTAATAGAGTCACGATGATGCGATTTAGTACCGTGCTCAACATTGAAATGCATTTACCTATATCAGAACCGAATAGGCTTCTAACGTGCCATATGTTTTATGTAGGTATGTCTCGTGATCGTCGCAATAGGTATTTTTAAGATTGCGGCCTGAAGCCAAAACAATTACTGATATTAGACCATGCCACAAATAATGAAATAAAATATTAAGCATAATATAATGACGTTAGCTCCATATTTTTCATTGTTGTAGTGCTAGCCTACCTACTGCGAACAAATCATATTTATACCATCGTTCATTTGTGCATGCATTTGTTTGCAGCATATTGTATTTATTATATGATTTGTTTGAAGAACAGCCACTGTTCAGAACTGTGGTTTCTGTGCTACATTTTGAGCTGGAATATATGTTATTGTGTGAGAATTTCTTTGCAATTTTGCATCGATTGGTTGGCTATAAGAAAACACGATACACACACAATACTAGTCCCAAACACAGGAGCAAAGTAAATACACACTGCAAACGAATCTGCGCTTGATCATAGTTGTGCTCATGCCTTTAGGTATATTCAAGAAGATTAGAAGAAACAAGGGAATAAATAGAAATGGAGTTAATACTCCTAAGCCTTTCCATTCCAATACATTTAAAACGACTGAGGGACTGACTTTCTAAAAAAGGAATAATTCCATGAAGGTTCAAAAGGAATAACTTCATGTAGGTCCATTCTTACCAAAACGCATCGCAAATGTTTGACGAACAGTTATTCTGATGCAATACGTTTATATAAAAAATATTGCAAGGCAATGCCAGTCATCGCACTGCTAACGCACATCGCCACAGTGCGGGAGTACCGGTCACGGAAGGCCGCTCAATAAACAGAGGACGACTCTCCAAGCCTCCCGTATCAGTGAGCGTTGATGACTGGTGGACGGTACGGACCAGATGGTACCGGACGGCACCAGTCACCGGCACCAGTCACCAGCACCACTGCACCGGCCTGGTGCACCGACCAGCGGGACCGGCACCCATGGTCACCCCACCACCGACTTAAGGACACGATCGGTGTAACGGGAGTCTGTATAAATGGCAAATAAAACATTAATGAGTGGATGTGCTAACACGAGGTCTTCTGAGAAACTGGGGATTAATTACGGACGCCACTAACACCCAGAGTGAATGTAAAAATGGCAATTTCAAGTTGAAGCTTACAGTCTAGCAAACGGTTCAACGCATAACAAAGGTCAAGCTCGTCAAAATTAACAGTATGAATAATCTCGTAAGTGATTGAGTAAGACAGCACAAAAACGTCGAATTTGAGGTTTCAGCTGTAAATCAAACTATCGCTACTTCACAGCAGCGGCAAGCCTTCGAATCAAGCTCACTTGTGTCCGCCCTCGCTCACTGCTGCATAAGCGTAGGAACCATGGGTGCAAGGGTGCAGCTGCACCCACAATATTTCTCCAGTGGGTGCAGACAATGTATTCTGCACCCACAACAATCTGAACCAAAAGCCCCTTTTCTCATCAACACTACTTTCCATGCAGCACGGCAAATTCAGGATGTGTTGCCCACTATCCATCTTTCGAAGCATTTGCTTTTGTGATGGTCTCCAAAACTTACATTTGTGCTGAAGAAAGAAAAGGAAATGGAGCATGTGATTGAACACATACCAAGCCGATGACCCACTGTCAAAATCTTTAGCCCGATATCTTCGAAAATGGCTAAGTTGGCCGCTTTTACTTTTTGCGGTAGTCAATATTGACAAATTAACCCTCGCATGTGTGCGGCGTTTCCAGCTTCTAATGTGTAGGGGGAGGGGGCGGGGGCTGATCGAGCTAGAGCTTCGCGGAAAAAAAACGAGGGTGTTGCCCGTGTCGAGAGGAAGCCGATGATACCCAATTTTAAGGTCATAGGTCATTGGTTGACCTTCCAGGTCAGGTCAATAAAGTCGGGAAAATCAGACCTGCTAGAACTGCGTAAAGTGAAGCTGTTATCGTTTTTTTTTCGGGGAGATGGTCACGAATATCATGTTAGTTTTGATCACAGATGATTTCTTCATGCATTTGGCCAGATCGGGTCAGGTCAGGTCAGGTCAACCATTAGGCGTCCTACCGGCTATCCATATAAGGTGTCAACTACCACTGACGGCGTCGTAGCATGTTACGAAGGCACTAAAACTACTTCGTAAACGTTCAAATGGATGCTAAATTCGAAATCAGCCCGAAAAACTACCCTGGAAACATGTAATACTCGAAAAAGTGAACCGAGGTCATCAAAGGTCAATGACCTGACCTGACCGTCAGGTGACCTTCACACCCACCGTGATGCATGGGACGAACATCATTTCACATGTTTGGACGTCTACAATCACAAAAAGACTGGAAACGCGCGGATAATGTGAGCTGACATAAGCCAAATCGCGAATCCGGCCGAACATGGTCTCGAGAATCAGGTCACAGGTCAAATGTCTTTTGGGTCAGGTCATGAAATTTTCAAAGTAGGTGTAAAACTGATCAACTCGAGGGTACTAAAAGTTTCGTCGCGATCGGCCGCTTTTTGCGCGAGTTATTTGCGAAAAACCATGGGGGGCTCATCAGAACCCCCTACACATGCGAGGGAATTAATGCTTCCAAATGCACTTATCGGTCGGTACCTTTTCGACATGGTATACAGTGTACAGTCTCCTCAAAGCTCGCAACGAGCCTTCGCTCGGGTGTCCCTCCCTACCCCCCCCCCCCCCCCGCTTCACCGGCCATGGCTGGATTTCTGCAACCATGCACCCACAATGTTCCAGCCGTTCCTACGCCCATGCACTGCTGACATAGCCTGGCAGCCCTAAAGGCCAAAGAGCCACTCCTGGTGAAAATAGACTCACCAATGACACTAAAATAATCAATAAATACGGTTAACGTTCCAACACACACTTGGATTGATGGACGTAAAGCCATTATCTAATTCTAAAAATCGGCCAAGACCCTTACAAAATAATAGGTACATTCTAGCACGAAAATAGCACAGAAAAAAAGCAAAGTCGAACTGCTCAGGGACAGCCTACTGCCTGAAAACCACCGGCATGTCGCAGACACACAGACCACAACAAAAGACTGCCGATAAACAACATTTCGTGTGAGAAGAATCTAAGGCGAAAGCTTTTAGGAGCATCAATATGCACGCTAAGCCCCGGTCGAGCGAATGGGGGTAAGGAAAACAGGCCAAATGGACTGCAGAAAAGACCAGGCATTAGCACACTGAACAGGTGACGGAACCTGGAGACCGGGAAAACGGGACACGAATAAACAGACGTGCAAAAGACATTGAACTTTAACTAGAGGCTATTTCTATCAATTCCATTGTTACTACTTTCAACACAAACGCATTAAACTAGTGGCTGAAGAAATTTCACGATTTTTCAATTATCGTTTACCTACGTGTATGCTAATTTATTTGGTATCATTCGCAGCAAGCACTGCTTAGCGTGGCACCTGGGCGCACATCCGCTCACTCACCCATTCAGGCGAAATTTCTATACAAAAAAAAAAAAAAAAAATACAACCGTCACGAGCAGGAAGCATGCCTCGCTGACTGAGCATGCCCAGAGGAACGTCTCTCGCGGTAACACGGACGCCGACACGCTAACGAGTACTTCCTGGTGCGAGGAACAAAGTAAATAAGCGACACATCCCAGAGGAGCAAGAATGATAACAGAACGTGCCCTGATCTCGCATACCCGAGGATGATGTGTCAGGCGAAAGGTTTCGAGCTGATGAAATACCTAGATAATAAAAAATTATTTAAAAAGAAATAATGAGAAACCAAAGTGGCAAAGGATCCTTACTAACAAGCAACAACCGTCCACTGTCCAGTGTATTTCATGCCATCCTGACAATGATGATCACAGCGAAACGATCACAAGCATCCAATGGAGTGCAACCGCCGGGGTAGAGGCTTTAAACTATTTTACACCCAATGACCAAAATTTTACCACATGGCGTAGCATGATGCGTAAAACAATAAACGAACACCTCTTTGCTGTACTGAAAAGTCATGATCGACTTTTTCAAATAAATCATGTGGGAATGGTTGAATCCAAAGAAGTATGGAAATTCATTTGCTAATTGTGGCTAACTACGCAGTAAGCCTAACCAAACAGGGTACTGAATAGTTACCATGCCAACCGTCCCAAAAGTAGGAACCAATACGCGTATTGCCTGTACGCCACTTGACGCAAGTCACTGCTAAACTCAACTTTTTTAGCATCACTGTTATGCATGCTCATAAGCATAATGACCACCTTTCCATCTCAGCGGTTCCACAACGCAAAGCGTTGCGATGCCATCGATCGCGTTAACACGTCTGCCTTTCTCGTGGGACTGCATAGATCTTGTGAGTTTATTCAGACTCTAATCCAAACAGCGGTTAATCATCCCCGTCCCAGGGCTCATAAAAGCGCGGTGCAGCGTATCACCGGGTGGGCAAAAGTCGGCCCTGCCTCGCCCTGTCCTTCCACGGCACGTAATTTCTCAGTCGGGTCGATGACCAATGGAGGGAGAACTTGTGATGCAAATTTCATCCCCGCATGCCCGGGGCATGAATCAAATTCGGCCCCGCTAGCCAAGTTCCAACACGGCTATGAATTGCGAGATCAAGTAAGCCGAAACAAAAAATAATGGCATACTGGGCTGGGTCCGGCTAGTATGCAGTTTTTTGCATTTCTTTTAACGTCTTGTGTAAGTGAGTCTTTGTTTACACTTCTTCGCACACACATCCGCAATGGTTGTGCTGGGTCGTCAGTTGGACAGGGCGGATCTCAAGGTTCCCAGAAAGCAAAAACAATAAGCTGCCTAAGTTCCTCTTACCTCATTGTATCCAACTCGGTGTGGGTTGACACGTAATCGCACCGTACAATCAAAACAGAATTGATCCAAACACCACCAATTCACTAAACGTACCACAACAATGAACGCAAATTACAACCAATGTTTGCAACGTTACTACCGTGCTTCCTACAAGTCTCCCACGACACCGAACGCTTCGAAGGGCCGTCACCGGAAACAACATCCCAGAGGAGTCATCCGACGGCTCCGTTCCACAACTCCGCCAGGTAAGTTAATGTCAAAAGCGGGATTTGTTCAAATGTCAAACGTCCGGGTCACGTAAACCTATATAGGATTCATCAGCGGTATATAATCCAGTATGTAATCAAACACCTTGCTCGCCAATAAGCTCGCGCTGGGAGCGGACGAGGGCTGGATTGACATCGGATTAGGTACTGCAAAAATGGACTCAAGAGTAGGCTAAAACGCGGACTGAGAGGGGATTGAAAACCTCAGACGTACATCCTACGCTTTCCATCACTTACGACGACTAAAACAGACAAGAATACGCGGGCTGAGAGGGTGCTGGAGTGGAGGACTGGAGGCAGCCAATGGACATCTTGTATAGGCATCGCTACAAGTCAGGCCTCAGTTAACGGTGGTACTTCAACGCCAGATTTCCATAACACATCGCTATTTTCACATGAGTTTATTTGTTCATTTATCATGCAACGCTCACAAACATCTCGCATGTGAAAAAAAAAACAGATCGGCATGATGAAATCAACTTAAATATATGTTCTCTTCTAGAGAGTGATATACAAATAAATAATAAATTGACTAGTGGTTATCATTCGTGATTCGTCATTCATTGCGACATTGTCCCAATTATGTTTTACCCTCACCGTATCATTTTGATTCCCTATTACACTATGTCCAATAAGAGTCCTTAGCTGAGGATCCGTGCAACTAACCCACTTCCCTACCATTCACCCAGCTGTAACAACATTCCTCCAGGCACACCGCAAGTCACCCATCCCGAACGACCCCTCAGATCTACAGATGAGCCCAGTTTACATCATTAACCCTATTAGTGGCAGGCTCCTGGCTACCCCATATTAGTGGCAGGGGGGGGGGCTGTTTACGACCCCCCCCCCTTGATATCTCGAGATCTAACCGGCCGATTTTCAAAATTCAAACGGCATTCGATTTAGCTCAACGAGATCTACATTTCTAAAAAAAATAAAATGAAAAAATGTCAATAGGGGGGTAGAGGGGGGTAAAAACGGGCAAATTGCAGATACATTTTAGACTGTTTATCACGGCCAGGTTTCTGAACCAATCTTAACGCAACTTTTGCCGATCGATAGAGAATGAACCAGGAATTCACATGGATCCTAAAAATATGCATTTTCAAAAATCATAGGCGGATACAGATCATTGAGATTGGGGGTACACAAAAAGTATAGTAAATAAGGTTTTTGTCGGTACTGTTTCTAAAAAGGGTGGCAATGGTCTTGTTATGTTACAATTTTCTTATGAGAGAACGACTAAAATTGTATTGGTCATGCATAGGCGGTGTCAGGGCACCTATGTTGGGAGGTAAAAAATAACCCCCCTTTTTGGACGCCTGGATCCGCCTATTATAGCAAAAACGTGTCAAAAGAGGATGCACAATAACTTTGTATATGTTATCACATGATACCTTTCATTCACTGTTCGTAAAACTGGTGCAGCATCGTGATCTTCGCCCAAATGACTCGCTTCACGAATAGGACCCCCCAATTCCCAGTGCTCTGGAGCCGCCCCTGGTAAAGTTATGAACTTGAAATTTTCAGGGAATGTGCCCAATTTAGTTTTAGGAAGTCAGAAAATTTCAGCATCGTAGCTTCAGCGGTTTCGGAGATATTCCCGAAAAACCTGAGGAGTGGATAAAAACAACCCCCCCCCCCTGCCACTAATAGGGTTAAAGCGTTCATGAGTTGGTCGCGGTCGGCGCAGCCGCCCTGCCTGGCACGCGTGTCACGTGCTGTATCCTAAAACGAGCGGGCGGATCCGACGCGGAGGGACACCAGGAAATCCTGACGGGCGGAATCGCGGCGGACCCGCGAACGCGCGGCCCCGGCACCTCGGCACCTCATACACTCCGCCCTTCAGCCCCACGGCGAGTGCGCAGTCACGCGCCAACCAAAATATGGCCGTGTTAAAACGGAGAACAGCGACACATCACGCGCCGTACGCTAGATGAGTTATGCTGACTTATTGCGAAACGCAACTACACGATGTGTTTACTACTGGCGAATCACTGGAAAGAAGTAAAAACAATCTGGAACGTTGGCGAAATGATTTTGAAACATGCTATGATATCATCGCACTGACTTATAAACACAAATGGCGGAAAATTTTGACCTTGAATAAAGGGTTGGAATTTCGGGCAACAGCAAATGGCGAATAAACATATTGGGTTAACCAATGACGCATTGACCGTAAAGTTTGAAGAAGCAACGGCACGACAGCCAAACAGAAATTGAGAAAAGGTCAGTCGTAAACATACGCCCACCCGTCATCGAGCGTTTACCTACAGCAATCACAGTAAGCTGCACCTTCGCCAAAGCTACTCATTCTGTCTGCATCCAAGCACAGATCACAGTACACACCTCGCCTCGCAGCGGCCCCGGGCTCTCAGTTTCTTCACCTAGCACAGTCTGGCGACGATAGCCGACACTAGCGCTGTACCAGACAGACGTCAGGCCGCGGCGCTGCAGTGTAACTGTATAACCCGTTAGACGGGGGTCTCTGAGCCCCTTTTGTTGACGGAGAGCGAGTGGGGCCGTCGGTGCCCGGCGCCACGGACCTCTGTGAGCTCCGGGTCGGTCCTGGTCCGCGGAGTGGAGCGCTGCGAACTGCCAATGTTGCTGTGCGAGTGCAGGCTGCGGGGGAGGGAAGGGGTGGTTAGGTGTGGCACGGCGAACCAACGAAACGGAAAACCCAACGAACGGGCAAAAGAAGCGGGTTGTATGTACGTCTGAATACGATAACTATTAAACAGTGCTTCGAGAAATATGACTTACTAGGTAAACACTAAAATGTCAACATCTTTGAGCTTGCTAACGCTAGCAAACCGAAATATCACTGTAGTATGCAACCAGCTTATACTGAATCGTTAGTAGCTGGTTATTAGCAGTTTTCAGAACACAACGGCACCTCAGCTCAGTCTTACCAAGTGGCTTAAATACGATTTGGCAGCAGCAATTGAAGCTACCGAGAACCGGCTATAAAAGTTATACCGGCATTTATATAAATTTTAGCATGGCAGTGCCATGCTAAAATTGATAAAACACCTACTGTTTGTAAGAAAACCGGTATCATTAAAGGTGTAATTTCAAATGGTTTGATCGGCAAAACAAGCCACTTGGTGAGACTGAGCACAGCTGCGAACACACACCATTTTCTTACGGCTTACCTTGTATTTGTTCGCGCAGTATCAAAAGCCAGCGTCTCCAAAGCACCTTCACCGTACAAACCAAACAAATATATGCAAAAAAAAAAAATACATACAAAACTTTCAACAAAAAGCAAATGCCATCCATCCGTAAGCCAAGACATTCCGTAAGTCCCGAAATATTGTACATCAACTACCATTCAAAATAAATTCTGGTTACGTAAGCTCAATAACACGGCGTAAAACCAAAGTAAACCAAAGCGTCATCTTCATTCCCGCAGAAGTGCATCACGTGTACCAGTACCAGTGAGGGCTCAACCAGCAACCTATGCATCAGTCATGCGGTAAATGTCCAGCAAGTCCAAAACCACCACCAGCGGCCCACACAGCAAGCATCCACACCACTGCCAAACGAGCCAGCAAGTCATCTGCCAGCCTGGCTGACTTGTCCAGCTGCATTCCGACCAAAGGCCGCCGTCCACCGGTTGAGTATGCGCTGAATTTAACATTGCAGTCTATTGGCGGCGCGCCAATGCGGTTCCGCGCCGAATGCGCGATGAATCGTATTGAGTCGAATATTCGGCGGCTGTTGGGCGTCAAATTTTGCGCTGACGACTCAAGATTACTCCTGACGAAGTGAAATACTTACTTTTCAGCGCGCTATAGGTATTGGACGATTACACGCAACATGCGCGCCAAACCAGTGGACGGCGGTCTTTACCCGTACGGCAGGTCTGCTGGTATGGCTGAGCCATCCCGCAGCAGGCCTGCTGGTCGCACGGACCTTTCCAGCAGCACGGCTTGGCCAGATCCCATTCCCTCTGACCTGTCCAGCATGTCCCCCATTTGCACTCACCTGTCCAGCAACACGGCGTGTCGGCTGGCCAGCTGCTCGTACTGCCGCTGCCCGAACTCAGCCGGATCGTACCGCGCCAGCTCGTAGTGGTCACAGAACTCATGTATGACCCGCGGACCGGCGCGCGACAGGAGGGTGCCGCACAGCGACATCAGGAAGCGGCGAACCGTGTCGGTGGGAGGCCGGCGCACGCCGCTCCACTCTGCCACCTCCAGCTCTGGAGAGCAGGGGGAAGGGTCAGATCAGGTTAGGAATGCAAACCTGCCGTCGTGAGGAAAAAAGCCGTATCTGGGGCACTTTTTCGAATTGAAAATTGTTCAGGAGAGGCAAAAACGCGTTTTTTGTTATAAAATTCGTAAACTTTGCTCAATAACGAATCAAAACATAGTGCAGTGATCGGATATAAATTTTACATCCAATGAAAGTGGTTATAAAAGGGAAATTATTTTAACCTAAAAGCAAAAGGCGAAAAACTTTTTTGCTTCCAATTCAACCCCGAGTTTGCGGAATCTTTCTTTCACGAAAAAAGCCGTATCGTGGAAGAAAGCCGCATCGTACGATACACCTGAGCAATACTGTCAATGAAAAAGCCGTATGTCTGATACATTGGTTAACCGATCGGGAATAAAGCCGTATCGCCATTTTTGTTTAACCATATGTCGTCAAAAAGCAGTATCATCGGTGCATTTCTATTGACAGCATATTAGTTCATAAAAGTACTAAAGCAGTTTCGCTGCTGGTTCCGTTCCACTGGTTCAGGTCTCGAGTATGGATATTTAATTGAACGTTCGATACAAAAACAAACATGATACCCATTTTAAAACTACATCATACATGCATAATCGCATTATTGTCGTAACTTTATTGGATTCTGATTGCGCGGGGTGCCATCAAAAGGCAGCTTGACCAACCGACCAGGGACGTAGCCAGGGGGGGGGGGGCACAGGGGCCATGCCCCCTCTAAAGGCGAAAAATAAAATAAAATTTAATAAGCTGCACCACACCCCAAAAGATAGTGGGCCAAATCCGAGGAGTTCTCCTTTTCTGGAGGGGCACGACACTAGGCCGCGACCTGTGGCCCCTCCCTGAGCAAAATCCTGGCTACGTGCCTGCAACCGACAAGGGGAATCACGAATGCTGTCTTTGTACGGTGCTTCAATTTTCGATTACACTGGACTCCAGAGTTTCTTAAATTCTGAGCCACTGATATATTCGGAGATGAGTGTGCCGGTCTGCCGCTGCGCCGGAGCCACGGCGACAATGTCGAGAGAACCGAGATAGTGTATTTTCCCATTGTCGATCTGCAGACCTCAAAGCACTTCAAGGGGGCAAGAGACGATGAGTGGGAATGTTGCTGATTAGCTGGACACAAGGTTCCCGGAAAAGGGACGCTGTCACGTGGTGTGCAGCTACAAGCACGGAACCGCCCGGCTCCTGAATCAAAATAGAGGATGCAAGAACTTCAGGAATTCCCGTAAAGAAACTGCATCTACAAAGTCTGTGCGAAACATCTAGGGCGACAGCACTGTGCCGCGGCTGAGGGTGTAAGCAAATGCCGCCTCATTGTCGGAGATCGCTAGACTGCTGAGAGCTCCACACGTCTGCGGGAACGCCCTTTAGAGTGCGCACCCTCAAAAGGCCCCCCAATGTGCACTCGTATTCACAGGGCTCTGATTATATACTGTAACAGAGCACAGGGCTATTCAGTACGTCTTGCTGCATCCTCCACCGGCCACAGCTGTGCTAGTAGGCTCTGGGCAGCTGCCCGTAAAATATGACAATGTTGTGGGTGCTTGTGTGGGTGCTACAAGAAAGCCTAAATTTCCAATATGATTTAGCATCATGGGTATGAGGGAGACGGAAAGAAGACGGTAAAGTCATTGACCAGGAATGGAAGTGACAGGGGATGACGGTCCCAAAGATACATGGGCGTGGTCACAATTATCACAATGAATGTGACGAGGTTGGCAATAGCAATCGACCTTTCACGGTATTCAACTATATCTTCAACGGTTTTACGACAAAGATTGTAGGTCGTCGTACTAAGCTCGCCGGCTGCGAGCTGCATGTCTGTGATTATTACCGGGTCGAACTTAACATGATGCTATTTTGGTTGTAGGGTGGGGTGGGGACAGGGAGGCCAAATTAATCATGGGGGAGGCTAGGTCGGGTATTTTTTATTGGGATTTTAAACGAAGCTGGGGAAAAGAACGGTCGGATTATACTGGCGCTCCCGGCTGGTTAGCACATACAAATTCTGAATGCCCGGCACCCTGCTGACACCACCGAGTTGGCAAAGTTCTGTTGGCTTCAAACTTCTCAAGTTCACTCCCTATTTTATTTCAATTAAAATACCCCTATAAATGGTCACATATTGCTACGATCACGTAGCATGTTTGTGTAAATGTTCAACTGTTCCGTCCAGGATATGCCGAAGCCATGCTTAATGAGTAGATACGGCTTTCTTCCAAACTGCCTGGACCAACGATTCGGCTCATATTTCACAGGCCACCATCAAATAAAGGCCGTATCTACAAGATACGGCTTTCTTCCTGACTTATCAGTTCCACATTCTTTGTTTGAAATTTTGTATAAATGCCGTATCTGCCGAATTTAAGGATACGGCCTTCTTCCTGCATGTTTTGCTATCCCTGATGTAACAAATCCGTTTTTGAATTTTTATATTATATATAATATTTTCATTTTTGAGTGTACACACATTTGAGCAGTACCATTAAACGCATCATGAAAAGAGCTTTCCAACGATATCAAAAACGAAAAATCGATAAAAATGCGACTTACGGCTTTTTTTCCTCCCGACGGCAGAAACGATCAGGTTGGGCGCAAACGTTACTTGATTGGATATACCCAAACAGTACTGAATACTGATGCCACTGCGAACACGATGACTCGCAGTAACGAATACATGAATCATTTCACATGAGCTGCGAACAATCATCCCTTTCCCATCAGCATACAAGAAAAAGAAGAGCTTTTATACCGGACATTGCTACCCTGCTACCCTTCCCCGTCCCTCTGTCGTTCGTCCGTCGCGGCGGCCACCAGCGCCCCTGGCGGCCGGAGAGCGAATTACCGAGTCGACGCGCGTCGTCCACAGCCTTCATGCGATAGTAGAACGGCTCACTGGGCGACACGGCTGGACAGAGCAGCAGCGGCTCCGACACCACGTCGGCGGTGCGGTCCAGGCGCCGCTCGATCTCGCGCTTCAACGTCTGAGGAATGCGGACAGAGAGGGCATGTGTGTGTGTTGTTGGAAATATTGGGTGGGCGCTAGAGCACAGGTAGGCTATCAAGCGCCCTTGGACAGAGAGGGCACAATCGGTCAGATGTGTGTATGGGGATAGATATCCTAATTGAATAACCGTGTGAATAGGTGAGTGCTGGTATCAGTTATTGAGAAATGCCTTAGGAATAGGCTTGAATACTATGTGAGCTGTGAAACAGGCATATACCTGAGGTAAATATAGGTATAAATACACCCATGATTATATAGATGAGGCTACAGGTTAATATAAATATGTAAAATGAAACCCAAAAACCAACTATGTTTAAACTTTAATCTAGCCAACGACTGTGCTTTTGATATCTAAATAAAAAACACCTAGAAAAACTGTAACAACTTAAAATATTGTCTTACCTTCTTGGCATCTACTCCAACTGGTACATGAGGACCTTTTTGATTTTTCAAAGCAAACCTCTGAATTTGCCTTTTTCCAAAAATAAACACAACCAAGAATGCCAGAACACCCCCAGCAATAAAAATAACAACCAAAACTCCAGGAAGCTCCTTGGTGTCTGCCATACTTTATTCAGCTTGATCCTGACACTTCAGATATAATTTCTTTTATAACCTGGCATATTGAGTGTCATGTCAATTGCCATCACCTATGAACAAAAAGAAATGTAGGGCTGGTTAGCTTTCATTTCAGTTGTATAGCTGGGTACATTGACATTTGACAGGCATGAAGGGTGTAAGTTGCATCAAATGGGCATTGCCTGTGTGTGGCTTATCTTTAATACAATACAATACAATACAATACAATGCAATACAATGCAAAATGTGGCATGATAATGACAACATTAACATTCTACTTAAATGATGCACACTTCCCTAAAATACCTCTCAGTAGATACCTACACAAGGCACTAGGCAGAGCCTGTCTGTACACAGGGGAAGTTATGAGGGTACCTATAATGTTCAAGCATAAGTTATGGACGGGTGATCTATCACAACGGAGGATGTGGCTGCCGCCACTAGGAGTTAGGACACTATAACACTCAGCAGTAGTTCAGACTGCTACCAATTAACATAGTGGAGCTTCCTGCTCTGGTCAACAGATAAAACCAGTCACAGTCAGCAGCAGGTTGAGGTAGGAAGGTAGGAATGCACCAAATCTGGCAGAGCTGCAGTGCACGGAGACCATATGCAGAAATAATCGATGGGCATAAAATCATTATTATTTGCAGAATGTTGTCTCACCTTGATCTGCACATTGCACATTGTTATTCGCAGTTCAAAATCGATTTAAAATCTCTATTAATCGTCAGCTTTTCTATATAGCTGATACCTAACTTATTTTAATTTCACAAACTTGAACTGAATTTCTAGTTGCCATACCCAAAAATGTGTGACTGGTGTCTGTCAAAGCATAAACAATTAACACATTAATGGAAACGCCACCTGTAAGGCTCCTGTATAATCAAGCTTTATCTCACATTTTTACCAAGAAAATCCCAAAATAAATCCATCTTTCCTTGCATCTGTCACTATACATATATTCAGACTGCTCCGAATCTGACGCGTCTGTTACATTTACTTTAGGATACGCAACCGAAGTCGTGACGTCACGATAAGTGGCTGGGGCATAATCAGCTGACGGCCCCGTGCTAAAGCAATGGGGCAATATTTTGCCGATCTTTCCCAAGAAAACTGGACCTAGTTAGATAGTTTTAGTAGCTGAATTTAGGACAACGATGTATGATCTATTTTTCTATGAAAAAATATTGCAAAATCTAACAACGCAAAGCACAAAATTGCGTGAAAACCTAATTGGCGGCGAAGTTGACGCAGAAATACAAAACATTTTAGATCAAGAGGTTTAAAATAATGGATTTAAAATAAAAAAGATTTTCAAAATAACTTATATGGTGAATTTTTTCCTTTGCTTTTTACAAACAAATTTTTTTATCCAGCTCAAACTCAAATATGTCAAACCTTACGCATCAAAATCCTCCCGACGCGGTCACAGTTCGCATCTCAAGGTTATGTATTTGGTGCGTCAAGTTCGCCGCCCGTAACAATTTCGCGAAATTCGGTCCTTTCCGCTTTGAAACATAGCATTTTTTTGGGCGTAGAAAAATAGAATATACTCAGTTTACCTAGAAACTGGCCCCCAAACTATCTAACTAGGTCCAGTTTGTTCTAAAAATGCTGATAAAATTTCGTCCCATTGCTTTAACACAGGGCCGTCAGCTGATTATGCCCCAGCCAGTAGTCATGTCGTCACACTTCGGTTGCGTATGGTGGGCGATTTTGATTATCATAAACGAAATAAATGACGTAGTTGATAAAAGAAATAAAACAATTATTTTCTATGAAAAAGAAAAATGGTACCTGATTTTTTAAAATATTTTGAGAACTATTACGAATATTTAATCGTTTTTCGCAAAGCTTTTAGCACAGATTCTTTTCCTTCGTGATTTATCACCAACTTCATAATATCTTTAGTCGAAAGCTTATGACGTCATTTTTTTTCCATTCAAGAGGATAAAATGCTTTGAAGTAGTTTGCTTCACCTTGACGTGATGCACAGGAGCCCCGTTTACATAGGAGTTGCCAGATTCACATGCCAGCTCGATCTACTTTCAGGTGTTCGGCCTCCGCCATGTCGACAAATGCTGCGCAGCAAATACAAAATCCAGAAATGTGGTAATGGAGTTCTGGCTACCAAATAGAAAAAGCCTGCCAAGTTTATGATGCTCTTCATGTTATGTAGTTTTGATAATAAACGACGCATGGGCTTCAAATGAATTGTATGTCGTACATTTGGGCATCATATGAGTGGAATATTGCCAAGTTTTTACCGAACATTTAAGCATAAGACTAAGTTGTTTCCATGAAAGCGATGAAAATAAAGCTGATTGTTGAGTTCGATGCACTCCTTGCAGCTTATATTTAGCGGATTGCATTTATTCTTATTCTACATTCATTTATAGAAAGATCAAATATGTAACACCCCTTTTCCCGCTTACCTTCAACCTCTGAGCAGTGACATTTTCTTGATCGATTCAAAAGGCATGGAAACACCAAGCAGAAACTGAGTGCGTAAGATATTTGGTAGCAAGTATCACATACGCTCTAAATGACTTTCTTAGCAGATTCGAGAGTCAGTAATTACCTATTTAATCACGTTGCGCTCATTCATCATGTCAAACAAATACCTAAACCGATTGGTAGCGTCATCTAGGCGATCATAAGTACCAAACTGCTAGTTGAAGACTTCTATTATAGATGGCACTGCTAGACAAGCCAGAGCATAAGCCAGAGGATTTTTACCACCGCCGTGAAAAATTCCTAACCAAAGGCGCACTCCGGTCCCCTCAACATAAAACTCTCGATATTTCTCTGACCAATCACCTTTCCGTGCTTCTATCCTCAGGATACTGAAATCCTTCTCCTCCACGCCGCAACCCCCTCCGGGCTGGACAGGCAACTTTATCTCATGCGGGCTGCTCCCTTGGAGCGGCACCGCTGCTCCTGAGGGAGCGCACCCCGTAGCCGGGTGCAGTGAGTGCCTTGGGGCTGGGTGGCCTGTCCTCTGGACGGGCTCAGCCCCGGCGACTCACTAGGGTGCCTGCCCAGACCAATGTCTCCCCCTAATTCCTATCATCCTTCCGGCTCTGCAATGGTCTTGTCGACCGAAAGGGCCTAACCCAACAAAACAAAAAACAAACAATCTGACCAATCAGAGAAAGCCTTGCTCGGCGCTGATTTGCTAATCAGAAAATGACGTCATTAGGGAGTCACGGCGTTCAAGCTATTTTGTGGCGGCTCAGGTGATCCACTTAATTTTGATGTTTTTAGAAAAGTCTGATGAATGCTTTTATATTTTCAGAAAAGAACCCTTAATATTGTTGTTGATAAACCCAACTTCGCTATTTTTGCTAAAAGTAATAAGACAGGAAATCATCTGTTGGTGGGTCTTCACGCTAAATCTACCACCCCCAACTACGTCATCATCGTTCATAAGCATGCTGTACTTGGTCATAACTTCGTTGCCCAGCACTAGTTAGCCTTGATTTCCGCCAATCAGAGTGCAGAGCTGTCTGCCGAGAGACAGCAGTACTCGATATTAGTGGTGGGCCAAATACTTGTTTTCTAAGATGTTTTTCTTTAGAGCCTTTTATATCTTACTTTTGTTTATATTATATATCGCTTTATATTTTGTTTTTGTAAAGAATATCTGCATATATTGTGATTTATTTAGCTTGATTTAGCTAATATGGCAAAGTGTTTACGAAGGGGTGCAGGGAGATATGGCAGCAGATATGGTGCTTGCAAATAGTCTTTGTACGCATGAAATAGTACCCTTTTTTCGAGCCGAAAATAACCTATTTATTGCAACTTATTGATGTATTATGCCTGAATTCCGAGAAAGTGCTCTTCGTAGCATTGAATACAGTCACTTGTGTAGTTGCAAAAGGTCACTGGCCAGTTTTGTGATATCTCTAAGCCAGCTAGGGAAATATCTAAATGCTATGTAAACAGGGTTAGGGTGTCATTGGGGATCCATTGGATCTTGATTGGATCCAGGGTTACCGCTGCTAGGGAAATTTCCCTTTTCTATGGAAATCAGCGAAGATCTAGGGATATATGGATTTCACACGAAATCTAGGGAAATGCCACCAGCCCGAAAAATTGTTGTTTTTGCCTGCAGTTCTGCGTTGTTCCATTTCGGGTGCGGCTAATTTTTTACATCGAAGTTTTTGTTTTGGCGCAATTTATACAATGTCTAGCGCATATCACTCCCATTCGGTCAAACTGACGGTGCAAAATAATGCATCGACTCGTCTCTTACGCCAGCACTACCGCTACCCATACGGCAGTTTCCCGCGTCCTGCAACACACCACAATTTGCGATATATCACGCAATTATATTATACCACATACAGTAATTTGTTATATGCCAGCAATTTCATCAGAATCTCTTACGTTAACGTAACAGATTGTAGTTAATCGCTGTTTTAGGACGCCGACTATAACCATAAGCGGCGGAACGGGGAAGGCACCGGAGCACCGTGCCCCCTTTGATTTTGGCATTTTAACATTAGCCCTATGGGTGTTGCATGGAAAGATGGGACCAAAAGTCGTCAGTGCCCCCCCCCCTTAATTGAAGGTGTTCCGCCGCTACTGACTATAACACGAATGGTTAAAATGAGGAAAGTACATCAAATTCCATGAAAATAACCGCATCTAGGGAAATGATTTTTAAAAAAGGGAAATTTTCGTGAGAATCTGGGGAAACCAGCGAGACGCCAGCGGTAACGCTGATTGGATCCCACGCGTGAAAATTGAAATACAAAAAGAGAGTTGAGACGCGTTCCTAGGTCCAGTTAAATCTATTATTATTTATAGCTTTGCCCAACCAATTGTAAAAATTGTCACCAAATTGACACCACAGAAAGAAGTCGCTGCAAATTATACCGTCGGTCTTTCTTTCAGCCTTCAGGTGAGTTTTGTCCAAGTTTTGTCCAAGCCAGAGAACCAAGGCAAGGGCGTTTTTTTCGTCATCCCTTCAACAGGCTAATGTGCCCACTAGGTAACAGTAAGGCTCCTGCTCCTCCTCCATACCCCTCCGCCTGGGCTACGACTAATGCGGGAGCTTCCACCCCACACTGACACCTAGTGACACAGCTGGGGATGAACCCAGAGGCCAGAACCACTCGCTACTCGCATTGCTAGTCGAGACTTTAACCAACTGCACCATCAGAGCTGCAATTGGTTAATTTTCTGAGTTTTAACAGAAACCAGTAACATAAGTTTCTGGTAAAGTTTCTGATAGATGATGGTCAAAACCCATTTGCATTATATACCTATTGACTGTTTTCCAAGTTAGTGCCTCACATGATTAATATTTATGTGCTGTGATTGCAACATTCTGGGTCTGTATGGTAAAGAACCCGAGTCACTGGTCAAAGCAGCAAAGGTACAGTAGGTTTAGCTACTCAACTAGCACCTGGAGGCTGGAACTGGAAGAGATTATTATGGTGTGTTGCTACATGCCTTTCCTGAACCAAGAAGCACTTCTGCAGCAATTACATTCAGAAAGGATGACACCTCATTGCCAGAGCAACTGTGCTGGGTGCTCCTTTGAGCAGGATCCTCTGCAACAACTGCGATTGGCAGCAGTAACGGCCAACTGGCTTTGTGACGTGGCGTCACGTTACAACTGATGTTACCGACGTCTCGGCATGTGACGTTTTCCGCCGCCCGGTGACGCAAGACTTTCGCGCCTTTCAGACGACTTACGACTGGCCGGGCGGCGGCGGCAGCACGCGCCATGGGCAAGACCAAGGCCAAGACACAGCACCGCGGCCGGCGGCGGCCGGGCGTGGCGGCGCCGGTGCGCATGACGCTTGAGCAGACGCTGGAAGCGGCACAGTCGGAGCTGGAGCAGTTCCACCTGGAGGAGGCGCGTCAGCTGCTCAGTCGCGCGCTGGACATGGACCCGGACTGTGTGCGCGCGCTGGAGATGTCTGCCGGCCTGCTGCTGGACCTCGACGAGATGGAGTCTGCGCGCACCCTACTGCAGCGCGCCGTGCAGCTGGAACCGCTCACGGGACCGACCAAGTTTCTCAGCCTGGCGCAGCTGCTGCAGGGCAGGGAGGCCGCCGACTGCTACGAGAAGGCCGTCCAGCTGCTGACTGCGGAGGCGGAGGCCGCTCCGGCGGCAGCGGCGGCCTCCGGTGACGGTCCGTCCCCGGCGCGGAGGCTATCGTGCGCGTTCTGCGCGCTAGCCGAACTCCACATGACCGACTTGTGCGACGAGCCTGATGCAGAGACGCGCTGTCGCAACTACGTGTCTCGCGCCGTGTCTGCCGACCCGTCCAACCCAGAGGCGCACCAGACTGAGGCGGGCCTGCTGCTGGTCACGGGCGACACGGACGGCGCGCGTGCCGCTCTCCGGCGCTCTACCGACCTGTGGCTGCCGGCGTTCCAGGCGGCGCGCGCCGGAGCCGCGGCCGGTGATCCACTGGAGGTGTGCCCGCTCAGCTACGACCTGCGGCTGGCGGCGGCGCGCTCTCTGATCGAGGTCAAGGACTGGGAGACGGCCGAGCAGGTGCTCGACGGACTGGCGGAGGAGGACGATCAGGTGGTGGACACGTGGTACCTGCTGGCGCTGGCCGCGTTCGAGCAGGGCGGCGAGGCACGCGCCGGCGCTCGGCCGTACCTGGAGCGCGCGCGGCAGGCGGCCGAGCAGCAGCCGGAGCAGCAGGACCCCGAGATGACGGAGCACGTGCGCCAGATGCTGGAGGAGCTCGGTCCGGCGCCGGAGGGCGAGCAGGAGGACGAGGATGAGGGCGGGGAGGACGAGTGGACCGATGATGAGGAGGACGTGGAGATGGACGCAGCCAACGGATGAACGGCGGCCGGCCGGCGGGCGGCAGTGCGCGCCGCGCGGGGCTGATGCCGCGCTGCGGGCTGGATTTGGTGCTGCCAAGTTTCGGGTGCTCTGGGATTTGATGGCTCTCAGGGCAGTGTTTGTGAGCTGCCAGGGATTTTGATCCGATTTGTTATATGTTTGGGACATACAGTTTTGAATATATCTATTGATGACAGGTGCGGCTTCTTTTGGTTTTATTGATTATTCCATGCATTATATACTCTGCTAAAAACACGCATTGTATCGACTATCGAGCAAAGCTGTAGCCAGGACAATTTTTTCCTGTCTTTAATTTCGTTCTGAATGAAGTTCGATGTAGCTTATTTACAGATCAAATAGGTCACTCGCAAGGCTTCGAATGCTGAGCTCAGAGAGTGCACTTCTTTTTTTACATTGTTTAAGAGGTCACAGTACCACTTCCAGCCTATTGACCGGAACACAATTTGCCGTGATTGCACTGTAAAAGTAAGGAAAATATTTAATAGCTGACCATAAAACACACACCTTTTCATAACTTGTTATATCCTTTCTCTCCGGGCAAGCATCCATTTGCTAACTTATTCCAGTCCTCTCCGATCGACCTTTTGGATTTTCTTAGATGTGTCATCAAATCATCATCGAAACTCCGACAGAGGATATCAAGAGTTTGTGCCAGTGATCCATTGGCTTCGGGAAGCCTGTTTCAAATTTCAATGGGAGCATGCTAGTTTTGTATTTGATACCGTAAGGTGGGGCTATTTGAGACAGTGGGGCTATTTGAGACAGTATTTAAAATTGCTATAAAATAAAAACCACTTAAAATGTATGCTTGATTTTTTGCTCAGGCGATTTACTGCTCGATTCCACACCTCCCTAAGCAAAAATATCACAAAAAAATCAAACGATCTTCATTTTATAGCGATTTTAAATACTGTCTCAAATAGCCCCACTGTCTCAAATAGCCCCACTTTACGGTACTACAAGGTCATTGGTTACGAAACGGTAACCGATAGAGTAGCTGCTTCGGACGGAGGCCGTGAACCTTCGATGAACGCCTGCATGATGCATCTAGCCATGCTCTAGTTAGGTACTGCAAAATTTTGCTTTTGTACCACAAAGCCTCGATATCGAATCCAGTCCATAAATAACGTTAGTGGCGAACGCCTTATTAAGGCCTGGCTACACTATGCGTTTTCTTCGTGCGTTTTTTGCGAGTTTGCGTGATTTGCGGAATATCGTTCTAGAAAGGAACGACAATACGTTTTTGTTATATGGTTTTTATATATAAACGTTTAATTAATATAAACGTTTTAATAACTTTTATATAATAAATATAAGGAGTTATATTAATTAACACTTTTTCACTAGAACGATATTACGCAAAACACGCAAACTCGCAAAAAACGCACGCAGAAAACGCATAGTGTAGCCATGCTGTGCCGCAGCGCTTCATTGATATGAAATTACGTCCCTAGATGGCACTGGTGACTGACGCCTGTTGCTTGGCTATGCCGCAGCGCTTCATTGATACGAAACTGCGTCCAGCACTAGTGACGAACGCCTGTCACTTAGGCTGTGCCGCAGCGCTTAATTGATACGAAACTGCGTCGCTAGATGGCACCAGTGACGAGCGCCTGTCGTTGGGCTGTGCCGCAGCGCTTCATTGATACGAAACTGTGTCCCTAGACGGCACTAGTGACAAACGCCTGTCGCTTAGGCTGTGCCGCAGCACTTAATTGATACGAAACTGCGTCGCTAGATGGCACCAGTGACGCACGCCTGTCGTTAGACTGTGCCGCAGCGCTTCGTTGATACGAAACTTCGTCCCTAGATGGCGCTAGTGACGAACGCCTGTCGTTAGGCTGTGCCGCAGCGCTTACGTGCTACGAGTTACGACCATTGTCACTGAATGGCTGTGGTTGTGATTTGTGAGTTGTGACTGATAAAAACTACGTTTTGATCCAATGCTATGAGGCAATCTATGGAAGACGAACGTCATTTCTATGCATGTAATGTACGCTAGCGGATACAGAGGGAGGGTTATTGGGAGATTTGCCCTCCCCGTAGCGTCCGAACTCCGAAATTGCTGAAATGTGTTGAAAGGAAACTATCAAATTAAGTTGTAAAAAGTTCATATTGCACAACATTATGCATATAAATAAGTGAAATCCGAGTTTGCCTTTAATTTTTTCCCAAGAGTGGAGTGCCCCCTTCCCGCAACATCCAGTCACATTTCTGAATTCTCCAGTGATATTATATGCATAGTTTTTTTTTATATAGTATTCAAAAAGTAGGTATGCATGATATTTTAGTATTTTTATGGGTACCCTGTGGTCTGGATAGTACATGCTTGCATCATAAATATATTATGTAGGGGAGAACGGGGTCATTTGGCCGCCCGGGTCACTTTGGCCGCCCCATGCCTACGCGTTTTGACGGTCCCGAGCGATTATTTTTGAACATGGCACCATCCGCCATCATAAGAACTGCTTTGGATAGAAACTAAGGATAAAAAAAAATAGATAAAAGCGAACATTAGCAAACAATAGGTACGAATGAGCAACTCCGATAGGAGGGGACTGAATTCAAAACTTTTTCATAGTCCTCGTATTGGTGGTTTATTTTAAGATATTTGCTCGTGCACGTGGTGTTTTATTTTGATTTGGAAACTTTTTGCACGTGCGTTTATCAACAATTGTATTTGTTTTCATACAATTGTTTCGTGATGTTCATTAGGGACTTCATATTACGACACCAACGATTGCTTTAGAATGAGGCGCTTTTTATTGCACTGAAATGGCCAGTCTCTCGCTCTCGCATCCCGCTTACTTCTCGAGACATCCAAGAGCGAACCCCGGTGCCCTGATCCCCAGTGAAGACATTGATCGTATGTACCGGTGGTTTGAAACGGTGACTCCGATCAGTCTCATCTACAAGGTGTGGTTTGACGTAACCTACTACTTCATGCTGACAGAATCAGATATTCCAAGCATGCTTGAAATGCGACGTGATAGCTTTATTATGTGTGTGGACGAGAATCAACGCCGCTATATTGCTTTGAAGAATCAGCAGATGTTCAACAGCCTGGCGGACATGACGGACGGCAGCAGGATGCAGCTGCGTATGTATGAGATGAAGGGCAGCCCGCGCTGCCCCGTGGCCAGCCTCCTGAAGTACATGCGGCATATTCACCCGGCGTTGCTGCGCATCTGGCAGCGGCCGCGAGAGGCGTACCGGCCGTCCGAGCCGGGGGTCTGGTACGACATGTTCCCGCTGGGACTGACCCGCCTCGGCAGGATGATGCCGCAGCTCTCCCGGCTGGCCGGCCTCTCGGTGACCTACCGTGCCTGCCACGTGCACAACACAGCACTGCGGCACCTGGAGCTGGGTGGTGTGCCGCCGCTCCTGCTCAGAGAGCTGCGAGGCAGGCGCGGCCCAAACGCAGAGCGCGCAGAGCGGGGCGCGTGTAGGTCGGACGGCCGGCCCTGCGGTGCGACTGCCAACTGCCGACGTGGAGCGGAACAGGCCAGGAAGAGGGCGGCCTCCGAGATGGAAGCGTGATCGTGCTCGAAGGACGGATGACTCGGCTCGGCATGCCTCGATGTGATGACTCGACATGCGTGTATACTGCGTGTATGACCTGTGTCTGTGACCCTGTCTGTTACGTTTTAACTGTGTGCTGGACGATTTTACTCGTCGCTGCTGAGTCGTATATGTTACGTTGTCATGGTATGCTATGTCGAATGGCACATCAGCGTCATATGAACAACAAATATAGGCATATTTTTCTCGAAATGATGGGTTTGAAATACAAAAGGCACCCAGTACATACCTGCCCTCCCAGAATTTCTGCATCTAAGCAGACATTTTTATTTTTGGTTGATTTTGCGAGTTGTCCCAGCACTCTTGTTTATCCAATGCACATTATTTTCAGTGTGACGCTGCATGTCAACCCCATGACTTTCATTCCTATTTATGAGCCCAGTTGTTGAGCGCTCCTAACGTGCCCCGTCTCGGCTGTTCCCAGAGCTATGGCCCGCCTGGTGGAGAACAACCCTCAGTTGCGGATCGCGCCGGACGCGGTGGTCTGCTCTGAGTGTGAGCTGGTCGGCGACGTCACCATCGGGCCTCGCTCAGTGGTCCACACTCGGGCACGCATCGTGGCCGAGGGCGGCCCGATAGTGCTCGGCTCCGCCAACCTTGTGGAGGAGCAGGCGCAGATCATCAACCGACTGCCTCCCGGCGAGACCTACTCGGCCGAGCGAGTGATGCGCATTGGCAGTAACAACGTGTTCGAGGTGGACTGCCGCTGCGAGGCGCTCTCGGTCGGTGATAACAACGTGCTGGAGTGTAAGAGCCAGGTGGGTACCGAGACGGCCATCAGTAATGGCTGCGTGGTGGGCGCCATGTGCCGGCTCTCCAACCAAGAGACGCTGCCGGAGAACACGGTAGTGTTTGGTCAGGATAACAGACGCCGCGTGCAGGCCGAGCGACCCGCGCCCCAGGCGCTGCAGCTCGACTTTCTCAAGAAGGTGCTGCCCAACTACCACTACCTGGCCGTCACGAGCAACAAGTAGTGGGAGTGAGGCGGTAGGTGGCTCGCGCTCTGCCTGCCTCCTGGACGGGCAGAGAATAGGGAGCAGGGAACTATCTGCGACTGATATTTATCGGCTAATGGCATGGCGAAGACTGGATTTATTTTTATTTAGGCGTTGCACCCCTTCCAAACGCTTCCATTGCAACGTGAAGATGTGATCCAGGACGAGGAATTACGATTTCCTGGGATTTTATCTTTCCGTAGTTCGGTATCTATTGCAAACCAGTGCACTGCTTCGTGAACTATGGGTGAGTGATACTACCAAAAATGTTTCCACGTGACCGCGCACCGGCACCATGTATGCCACGCAAGTCAGCCTGAGACACTGCCCATGTGGCCTGACTGCTTCCACGCGGTTATGGTAGGACCTCGGTTGTGTTTCGCGATTCGTCAACTGCTTGTCGATGGGCCCGCATCAAATGCGTGCCTGCTTCTTCTAGGGATGTGATGTGTTAACTTATGAATGGTTGAGATGAATGTCCTCTACAGAAAGGCTCTTATCTATTATTGCTCCGCATCGTCAAAGAAGACTTCGACAAAGAATCGATAAAAGAGCGTTTTTGGATGGCGTTCTTGTGACCGTAGCATTATCATCTGCCTGTGGGGGATATGTTGCGTGCACCAATCAGTCGAATACGATACAGTAAAAGTTTGTGACGTTTTGCGCTTCTTCAATGGATTACTAGTTTGCTAAGATATGTGCACTGTGCAGTTATGTTCACTGTATGTGTTTGCAAACGCTGGTGCGTTTTGAATAATACACGTGACGATATAGGTATTACAAAATGAGTAGTGTCGCTGTATCATTTTTTTTTTGCGATTACCCGAAGCATGAAATGATGAAAGTGAAGGAATGTGTCCATTATCTGCAGCAGCTTTCCCATCACCCCTCCGCCACATGCACTACAAAATGTTTTTATTATATTCACATGTGTAATGTATTCAAAGCATCCAGCTTGTAGGCATCTGTCCAATCACGTTATGACTGCACGAATTAACCACTTTTATCTGCATAGAACATGCATCACGATTCACGGACCAGCTCGCCCAGACAACGACAGTTCACGGTTCACGGCATGGACGTGGGGCGGCCGGTGCAGTATTATTACTAAGATGCCTACAGACAGTAGTGTACACTGTGCAGGCAGCTATTATTATCGTCTGCCTTGACAATTACGCACTCGCCTCGGTACATCGTCATGGATGTGCTTGGACAAAGCTCGCTCAGCAATCACGGAAGTCCATCAAAGTTGGTACAAGATAGGATCTAACAACATAATTTACTAATCACGCATTAATCTTACGTGGTGATCAACATTGCGGGATCTTTTATTCCAATATGATCAACCACCCAGCCAATATTTAAAGCCATCATCTTGGCCTCACTTCTATATAGGGTATGACATTCCGCGGCCGAGAGAAAGCTGGGGAATGACCACAGTTCATCCCAAAATTAGCACTATTTCAGCCCTCAGTCACAGGCATCCAGCGTATTTGATTTCACGTGTGATGCATTACAATTATCCACGCAAACTTGGTAAATGAGCCCGTGGTCCAACCTCCCCGTATAAATGCGTGCCACCCCTCGCACATAGTGCCTCAGTAATTCATCAAACAGCTTTGTATCAAAGGCTGCGGCTATCACATATTGCACACCACGATGCTATCATTTCCAGGCGTCTTGCCTTGATCCCCGCCAGCACCAATATGCGCACACAGAACAAATAACATCTCTGCGCTATTCTACCGCATAAATAACCATTATACCTCCAAGGCTGTATCTCATCCTTTTATCCTAGAAGATAGACTTTCTCCCCAGAGCTCGGTAAAAAACGCACCTGGGTACTGCTCCCACGCCCGCACGCTACTTGTGGCACTGCCTGAGCAGCCGTCTCAGAAGACATAAGGTTGTTGGCAACCAGCAGTGGCTACACCTTGGCCGCCAGAGGCGGCTACTACAGCTTGGACCGCATGGCCTGGTGGAAAGAGGCGGGCACCTCGTCTGTGTTCAGGGGACTGTGACTCGCCTGCTCGAACATCCTGCCGGGCACAGACGCCAACAGTCAGTCAACGTGATTAGACCCCGACCAAAAAGGTGACTTCAGTCAAACACATACCTACGTACACCGTGAGCTGTTGGGCTGCGGCGCACGTCCCAATTCACCGTAGAGTTATACCTGTCATATGAACCATAATATATCTGATGAACTACTGCGGTAAACGACACATATTTTGACCAGCCGTACACCATATATCAGCTGTCCCGCGACTGCGGTACATGACGCTTTCCTTTACCACACAATACAACAGCTGTCCTGTACCACAGTCACTAACCTGCGGTAGACGTCGCCGTCCCACGCTCCCAGTGTGGAGTTGATGAGCCGGTCGGGCAGGTCGAACGCGTCCGTCAGAGGTATCATGTGGGGCCGCAGCTCGGCCAGCAGTCGCAGCAGGTGGCGGCGGTTCAGGCGGATGTCGGACGGCGTCAGACCGCCGTACTGCGGAGGATAGACATGGTTAGATACTGGGACAGACGGCCAGATAGACACAGACGGACACGGTTAGACAGCAAGATAGACAAATATCGGACGGCGTCAGACCGTCGTACCGCGGACCAATGGAGACGGTTAGAAGGATAGACGGTTGGACAGACACGATCAGAAGGATATCAGACGGCGTGACGCCGCCGTAATGTGTACGGAAGGACATGGGTAGGTGGACAGTAAAGACCGGTCAGATGGGACAGGGATTTACGGATATCTACCGCCGTTACTGCGGGCAGACGGACAGTGGACACGTTCAGCCAGAAAATCTTTGGCAGCAACATAGTGAGACCGATAGAGTGTGATAAACAAAGTCCGGTGATTATATCGTACCCCTTTTCTCTGATTGCGATATCCTGAGATATTGAGACATTGATTCTCTTCACCAATGACCAATGTCTCTTTCAGCCCAATGACCAAAAATGTGTCAGTGGTCAACGGATCGCAAAGCCCCCGTACATACATCCTGTCCGTGATGACGCCTCTCAGTCCCCACTAACCGTGATAAAGTCTCCCTCTGCCCGGCTGACGGCGTGCGCCTCTCAATCCCCACTAACCGTGATGAAGTCTCCCTCTGCTCGGCTGACGGCGTGCGCCAGGTACACACTGAACAGCAGCTCCAGCATCTGCTGAATGGCCCGGCTGCTGCTCTGCTGGCTCACCACCTCGGCAAACTCGCGCACCACGAAATAGCGGCCGTGCGCCTGCGAAACACAGAAAGAGTGAACCAGGCGTCAGACGAGGAATGTGTTATTGGAACAGTATTGATGGGAATTACCTTAGACAATAGGCTCTTGACACACAGTAAAATTAAGACAGAGCAGATCTGCCGTCGGGAGGAAAAAAGCCGTATCTGGGGCACTTTTTCGAATTGAAAATTGTTCAGGAGAGGCAAAAACGCGTTTTTTGTTATAAAATTCGTTAACTTTGCTCAATAACGAAACAAAACATACTGCAGTGATCGGAAAGAAATTTTACATCCAATGAAAGTGGTTATAAAAGGGAAATTATTTTAACCTAAAAACAAAAGGCGAAAAACTTTTTTGCTTCCAATTCAACCCCGAGTTTGCGGAATCTTTCCTACATGCCGGGGCATGTCTTAAGCACAGCACGAGCCGGGCAGTAAAACTATGACCAAGAAACTGTCGGTGTCAAAATGCCATGTTATTTGATAGGCCGGGCAGGAAACAAAAGTTTACTGCCCGAGTTTACTGCCCAGGGCAATGACCTCTAAACTACAGTTTATCGCATTAGCCCAGAGGTATAATTGATAGGGAATGTATAATTGACATCATTTTTGCATGATATTTGCCGCGTAAAATTAGAAAACTAACATTTTTTTGGTAAAAAAAAAAATATCTGCTCTGTTTATCAAGGGTTTTGAAATACTTAGTATTGGTTACAAGATATGCTCCTATTAATCGAAATCCGTTATCGCTTGTTTCTTATCTTCGTTTGATATGTCCACTGATACCTTGGGCCTAAGTTATTGCGTTATTATTTGACAGTTGTAGTCCTTTCCTCGAAACAAACATGTAAAATATGGAAAATATAATGTATTTCACGAAAGTTTAGCCATAGGTCATCAACAAAGTACGATTACATAAATAAAGAAAAGATTCTTGCAAGAGCACCGGAAAATTCACGTTTAATCACTAGGAATATTATACCTTCTACCTTCATCTTGTTCTTATGTCGTGGCAAATTATTCATGCATCATGTTCCTTGGATATCCAATTGTTGTGCCATTCTGAGTTGATATTTTCAGACGCGATTCTTTTTGAAGTGAGGTATTTTGATGCATTTTCTTCTATAAATTTCCTTTAAAGCTTTATCCACAGCAGTAGCGCAATCACTGTTCGGAAATTATGGACAAAACAATTGTATAAAAGTGTCAACAAAACCTGTCGAAACTACTTAGCATGTATGCGACATGTAGGAAAAATCTTACTGACCTCAGCCGTACGAAATTATTTGGAAACTCGGCTTGCAAAATTTGACTCCGGCCCTCGTGCTTCGCACTCGGGCCTACGTCAATTTTGCAAACCTCGTTTCCAAATAATTTCGTCGGCCCGGTCAGTAATATATATTCTTTCACGAAAAAAGCCGTATCGTGGAAGAAAGCCGCATCGTACGCGACACCTGAGCAATACTGTCATGCAAAAAGCCGTATGTCTGATACATTGGTTAACCGATCGGGAATAAAGCCGTATCGCCACTTTTGTTTAATCATATTGTCGTCAAAAAGCAGCATCATCGGTGCATTTGTATTGACAGCGTATTGGTTCATAAAAGTACTAAATCAGTTCCGCTACTGGTTCCGTTCCACTGCTTCAGCTCTTAAGTATGGATACGTATTTAATTGAACGTTCGATACAAAAACAAACATGATACCCATTTTAAACTACATCATCCATGCATAATCGCATTATTGTCGTAACTTTAGGCTCTTGGATTCTGATTGCGCAGGGTGCCATCAAAAGACAGCTTGACCAACCGACCAGAGACGTAGCCAAGGGGGGGGGGGCACAGGGGCCATGCCCCCCTCTAAAGGCGAAAACTAAATAAAACTTAAGAAAAAAATAACCACAGCTGCACCACACCCCAAGAGATAGTGGGCCAAATCCGAGGAGTTTTCCTTTTCTGGAGGGGCACGACACTAGGCCGCGACCTGTGGCCCCTCCCTGAGCAAAATCCTGGCTACGTGCCTGCAACCGACAAGGGGAATCACGAATGCTGTCTTTGTACGGTGCTTCAATTTTCTATTACACCGGACTCCAGAGTTATTCTGAGCCACCGATATATTCGGAGAGATGAGTGTGCCGGTCTGCCGCTGCGCCGGAGCCACGGCGACAATGTCGAGAGAACCGAGATAGTGTAGTTTCCCATCGTCGATCTGCAGACCTCAAAGCACTTCAAGGGGGCAAGAGACGATGAGTGGGAATGTTGCTTATTAGCTGGACACAAGGTTCCCGGAAAAGGGACGCTGTTAAGTCACGTGGTGTGCAGCTGCAAGCACGGAACCGCCCGGCTCCTGAACCAAAATAGAGGATGGTGTAAGAACTTCAGGAATTTCCCTAAAGAAACTGCATCTACAAAGCCTGTGCGAAACATCTAGGGCGACAGCACTGTGCCGCGGCTGAGGGTGTAAGCAAATGCCGCCTCATTGTCGGAGATCGCTAGACTGCTGAGAGCTCCACACGTCTGCGGGAACGCCCTTTAGAGGGCGCACCCTCAAAAGGCCCCCCAATGTGCACTCGTATTCACAGGGCTCTGATTATAGCGCCTACTGCAACAGAGCAGAGGGCTATTAAGTACGCCTTGCTGCATCCTCCACCGGCCACAGCTCTGTGCTGGTAGGCTCTGGACACTGCTGCCCGTAGAATATGACAATGTTGGGCTTGTTTGGGTGCTACAAGGTAGCCTAAATTTCCAATATGATTGAGCATCATGGTATGAGGGAGCCGGAAAGAAGACGGTAAAGTCATTGACCAGGAATGGAAGTGACAGGGGATGACGTCCCAAAGATACATGGGCGTAGTCACAATTATCACAATGAATGTGACGAGGTTGGCAATAGCAATCGTCCGACCTTTCACGGTATTCAACTATATCTTTAACGATTTTACGACAAAGATTGCAGGTCGTCGTACTAAGCGTGCCGGCTACGAGCTGCATGTCTATGATGATTACCGGGTCGAACTTAACATGATGCTATTTTGGTTGTGGGGTGGGGTGGGGACAGGGAGGCCAAATTAATCATGGGGGAGGCTAAGTCGGGTATTTTTTATTGGAATTTTAAACGAAGCTGGGGAAAAGAACGGTCGGATTATACTGGCGATCCCGGCTGGTAAGCACATCAAAATACTGAATGCCCGGCACCCTGCTGACACCACCGAGCTGGCAAAGTTATGTTGGCTTCAAACTTCTCAAGTTCACTCCCTATTTTATTTCAATTAAAATTCCCCTATGAATGGTCACATATTGCTACGATCACGTAGCATGTTTGTGTAAATGTTCAACTGTTCCGTCCAGGATATGCCGAAGCCATGCTAAATGAGTAGATACGGCTTTCTTCCAAACTGCCTGGGCCAACGATTCGGCTCATATTTCACAGGCCACCATCAAATAAAAGCCGTATCTACAAGATACGGCTTTCTTCCTGACTTATCAGTTCCACATTCTTTGTTTGAAATTTTGTATAAATGCCGTATCTGCCAAATTTAAGGATACGGCTTTCTTCCTGCGTGTTTTGCTATCCCTGATGTAACAAATCCGTTTTTGAATTTTTATATTATATACAATATTTTCATTTTTGAGTGTACACACGTTTGAGCAGTACCATTAAACGCATCATGAAAAGAGCTTTCCAACGATATCAAAAACGAAAAATCGATAAAAATGCGACTTACGGCTTTTTTCCTCCCGACGGCAGAGATATTCAACATAACTATGTATGCAGACACGTAAACAATCGGTAGATCGTTAACAGAGTTGAGACAGTCGATCGTGACATCTGATCGGTCAGCGCACGTGCCGAACTGATCCAATTAAACATCTCCCCCTTAAATTCCCCACCAAAATCCCACCCATCTCACCAGGGCCGCGGCCACCAGCTGTACGAGCGACTGGTTCCAGGCGTCCGGCTCGGGCATCGTCTGCCGGTCAGCCTGCAGGGCGGCGGCCACCTCAGTGACACGTCCGCGCGCCACGCGTCCCACCGCCGCCACGTACGCCGCCGGCGAGCCGACCGCGAACGGCGTGTCGTCGGCCGGTCGCGAGAGGTAGGTGACGGCGCTGCCGGCGGCTGGTGGCGCGTGGCTGCCTCCCGCCTGTTTCACCAGGTACCTGAGGAGTAGCGAGGTAAGTCGGCGTTAACGTGTGGGGACAGTGTGAGATGAAGAACGTGGGACACCACAGGTTCTAGAGAACTCACTAATTAGCATAACAACAAATACCATTTTTAATACGTGTTTGGGCCTTGGAACAATCGATCTATAGCGTTTATGCAGTAACATCATATAGGACAGAATTACACACTTCATAGTCAGCCCGGACGCGACCTGCAGCACTCAGCTTAGGTCAGTCTCCGGTGTTTAGACCGGACCAGATGTTAAGACCGGTGTTTAGACTGGTTGGAACGTCTCGAGTTTTAGATCATTTTTAGACCAGAGGATTAGACCAGCCTTTATACGTCCGGCACGGACCGCGCTGCTGCTGCAGCGCCCCCCCCCCCCCCCCCCACCACCACCACCACCCGCCCGTCACCGACGCCCCGCCGCCACTAACCTGGCCGTCTGCAGCAGCAGCACCGTGTTCTCGCCCTCGTACGTGGCGCCGGCCGTGGCGTAGGCGTACAGCGCCGGCAGCCGAGAGGCGGTCATGTAGCCGTGTCCGCCGCACGAGAGGCGCAGCGCCTCGATGGCCTCACTGCAGTCCTGGGTGACGAGCGCCTTCAGGCAGCAGGCCGTGGCATGCAGCTGACGAATACGGACCTATGTCAGACATATTCTGCAGAACGCAGACATATTCAGGCAGATGCCGAATGCAGACAAAAGTAGCTGCCACCCACAGGCACAAGTCAGCCAGCTGTGAGATACACAGCACACAGCTGAAGAATACAACCAAGAGTAAGGCCAGCGTGTCACACGTCATGCAGCCGTTACGGGCAGGCAGGGCTGTTACAGGTTGTCACACATATAAATTCCCAGTAGGTGACAAAAAAAAAACACGCGACGGTCCGATCACCCTTGGCACGGCACTGGCGTCTTACTTTAGTCAGTTTCTTATCATGGCTCTGGCAGCAATCTTTATATACCTATTATTTACCATTCCCTCACAGGGGCGGAGCTTCCTTTTCAGTTGGCTGCCCAACAAACTTGCCATTTTGCCCCACCAATAAGCGTTTTGCTCTACCAGCTTTAGCTGGTTTGTAGGACTTTGATGCTAAGCAAACCAATCTTCTTCGCTTTGAGGAGCTTTGAAATGTCTGTGTAATGCAAAATATTATCTCTGTAATGAATATAATTGCTTCAGTGTTGCACTGAATATTGGATATTGAAGGTTTAACGACTTTTTGCCCCACAACTTCCCTGGAAAAGCTCCACCCATGTTCCCTCACCTTATCCAGTGTCTCTCGCTCTCACCTCGGGCAGCAGGGCGGTGTCACCACCGCGCACCTCGCTCGTCACGTGAGTGTGGTGCTCCCAGAGGCGGGCGGTGGACGCACGCAGCACGTAACACGCGGCAATGTGCGGCAGAACCTTCAGCTGCTGCGTCTGGTAGTCGATAATCTGCGGCTCCTGACCGCTGCGGACGATGGGATAAGTCAGTACAGGGAAACAATCAAGAGGAGATGCAGTACCACTGACTGGATCTGGCCGTCTCATACGCAGGCAACAGCGGATAGTATCAGAGGGTGGCCGAAGGATATACATCCGAATACCCCGCCGTGCCGCCAGACACTCATAGTTTCTCTACAAAACCACTCTGCATGACAATCTATAACTCAGTCTGGAATTAGGAGCTCAGTCTGGAACTAGGAGTGACTCACATATCGCCTACACTTACAAAACACGACCCGTTTCCGAACGAATAACGCTCACCAAAGGTAGCGACCCACCACCACCGTATCGGGCGCCACTCACTCGTCTCGCGGCTCGCCCTGCCTCCGGACGATGCTGTAGCGGGCGGCGATGGTGGCAGCGATCTGCAGGGCGTCCACCGTGTCCAGAGCGATGGCCACCCGGGTGAACACCATCGTGCCGTAGCTGGCCTTCTGGTGGGACGGCTTCGTGTAGGAGCCGTCCTGGGGTGGGAGGACAACAGCGGCAGAGAGCGTCAGGTACAGCCGACAGTCGGCAGAAAAGGTGTCGCAAGCAGTTAACGGTACACTTCATAGAGCAACGGGCTACTAGAGCAGTCTAGCTGAAACTCTAATATTATATGAAGTTCACGATTTTGAGTAACAGTTTTGATGAGTAACAAGCGTCCAGCTCATCACCTAGCAATGTCCAAATAAGCCTCTGTATCGTCCGCCCTGAATCGGTACGGTAGGTATACATTGTAGCGGTAGCAACTCCGGGCGATCTCACCTCATTCACTCGCGCGTTCCTCATGAGCATGTTCTCCCGGGGCACCTTGACGTGGTCGAACAAGAGGTAGCCGTTGTTGAGCGTGTTCTGTCCCAGCTTCGGTCCAATCTCGCCCACAGTGATGCCTGATAAATACCGTAGACGTTAACAGGGTGTCACCTCGCAGCGATTAACCGCTACCGCATCTACCGCATCGCACAACTGCTGTGTAGTCCGGTGACTGGTGTGCCCTAGTGAAACCTGAGGAGCCGTCATGTCCGCCACAAACTCACGGTAGCATTCGGGGTTGATCTGAACGGAGATGACACGGAAGCTTGATGACCTGACCGCGGTCGGTAGCTGTGTCTGATACCTGGCCGCGTGGCTTACAGTGTGTTCGATGGCCGGTTGTCTGACATATAACGGTTACTGCATCTGACGGTACCCCAGACGATTTGACGACCACCGCAGCATCATAGCGCCAATATCTCACACCCATCCACCAGTCAGCGGTCGGGGGTCTCACATTCTCCCACACCCTCTCACAGCGGCCGTTGCGTCTCCCTCTACTCACCAGGTAGCGGCCGGTGCGTCTCGCGATCTCGTATGGCCACCATGAAGGGGTGGATACCGCGCGGCTGGCCGTCCGTATACAGCTGCGCCATCACCACGGCATGGTTGGCCGTGGTGCCCAGCCCTCCGGGCCACCATTTGGCGGCACTGACGTCGGGTGTGTGCAGGTCGAACGTGCGGCTGGCCGGGTCGTAGGTGGCCGTGGTCCGCAGGCCGCGGACAAACGTGCCGTGACTCAGCTCCGTCTGAGAGGGACACGGGACGCGGTGATACATGCTGATACGCAGTGATATAAGATGATACATTGTGATAAACAGTGGCTGGTGGCATCAGCTGTCCGTGATACAAGTTCATGCGCGGAGCACCGGGGATACGCAGTGATGCATGTTGACAAGGAGTGATACACGGTCTCAAATATACCCGGCCGGTCCGGAACATGACTCAATCTCTCGTTCATGTCGATGTGACAATGTCACACTTTGCGGGCGTTATCTAAAGCTGGCCGAACCCGACCTCACACACTAAACGCCTGATCATCCTTCCAGTTCTGACTGACTGACTGAATGACTGAGACTGACTGACCCATGACCGACCGTTCATCCCCCGTCAAACCGACTGACCAGAAACCGTCCTTCTGAATGACTGACTGACAGTGATTACGCCCTCATAGCCGCCCGACCAGTCGCCGTCCTCGTGACTGACTGAACGTTCTTCCAAGCAATCCAATCGACCCACAGTCCTTTCGACCGGCCTTCCAAACGATCGACTGTCCTTTAGACCGATCGTCCGTCCGCCCAGCCGCCCGCGCGTCCAACTGACCTGCGCGTACGTGCCGACGATGGTGCCGTTGAAGACGTCGCCGAGCCAGCGGGACACCTGCTCGTCGTCTGCCTGGTTCATCAGCGTGGGCACGAACATCACCTGGTGTACGGCCAGAGGGTTTCCGTCCGGCGTGGTGAAGCCCGAGACCGTGTGACTCATCACCTTACTGGGAGAGAGGCGGGGGAGGCAGGGCAGGTCAATAAAGACACCGTGTGAACCATCACTTTACTGGGGAGAGACGGGGGAGGGCAGGGCATGTCAACAACGACATGCCCTGTGACCCATCACCTTACTGGAACAGGATGGGGAAGGCAGGCCTCGTGTGACCCACCATCGTGACTCCCACCACCTTAGTGGGAGAGGGGCGGGAAGGGCAGGGCAGCTTGAACAGTGAGGCTCCCCAGCTTATTGAAAGGTGACAGGGGAGGGCAGGTCAACCCAGACATTGGTGGTCCCACGTCTTATTGGACGGGAGCACACATCAGGTCAGGCCAAACAAACACAACGACAAATGGCAATCAACTGCAACAACTGTACTGATGGGCACCATCAGACGTGGCAATTCTCACTCTAGGCCATACGCACCATGCATGCTATGATGACACATTATGTAGCCCTTCTGGAAACCGCAATACTGCCTGTTATAAGCCAAGATCAGTCCCATCATACCTGATCTCGTTAACGTCCATGCCCTCCTCGTCGATGAGTTTCAGCATGGCGGTGGCTCGCGACAGGTTGTAGCGGTACTTTTCCTCGTGGCTCATATACTCTGTGGCCTTTGTGTTACGCAGCTCCGGATGGTTCAGCACCTTGGACCCTGACGGGCGAAACACTGAGCTAAGAGTCTCATCCTGCATTATAGCATTATGAATATATAATAATGATGCGCAGCTATGCAAATAAATCAACTCTTTCACCAGGACAATCATAAGGAAACGCATGAATGTGAGTAAGACGTTCAAGCAAATACTTACATGTATTTCTTTTCATTTCTGTTTTATCTTTTCCTCCGTCGACAAAGTTGGTCATCTCCTCGATGTCGAAGGCCGGAGATGCCCTCTCGACGGCCAGGTCGGGGTGCTGCCATTTTCGGTCCGAGCAAATGACAGACATGGCGAGCTGAGCTTCGCCTCACAACCTGAAAAAAATGCCGGCAGTCATCATACTGATGATTGATCGCTAATGTAGAGCAGAGGAAGGCAACGTATATTATCTTAAAAAAACACCCAATAGTAAGACGCATTAAGGCAAAAAAAAAACGGCGTGGTATCTTCCCTAGCAGCACTGACAAGGGAAGTTTTTGTGCATCTTTTTTACACCAGACTATCCACAACACGACGATCGTTACAGATATGTGATCCAAGACCGTGTTGGGGCCAAGGGCGTGGTATCTTCCTGCCACGTCCTAAAAAGGCTATAGTGAATGGAACAAACTCCATTTGCCCGATCACTAACCAGCGCAAAGTCAAAATGGCATTGTGATTTTTACCTCAGATACGTGCGTTGACATTGTGATTTTTACCTCAGATACGTGCGTGAACAAAGTAAATGCGCTTACGAAGAGGATCTGAGGCCGATGCTCAATAAAAAGGCGTTAAAAATGCGAACTTTATTTTTTATGCACCAGCAGTTCATATAACACATACAAAAACTTCATTAAATAGGTCCTAGCATTTTAATCGGCGTATCACAGTCATTGGCATCCACGTCGAGTTTCAACGTTGTATCGGTCTTCAGCTGATTTTCATCATTCTTATGTTGTAAAAATCTGACAGGGGACAGGTATGCTAATCGGGAGCTGAAAATTTGAGAGTATACTAACATTGTGATGCTGAAAGGACAAGAATACTGGAACAAGCAGGATACAATGCTTTCGAGGGGTTACGCGTAAAGACAAACAACGAGTAAAACGAAAAAAACAAAACGAGTGAAGGAGTAATATATAATACTGAACGAGGCCGGTGTAAATAAATTTTCAAGACCGAGGTCCTTACTGGATTTTTGAACGAGGCCGAAGGCCGAGTTCAAAAATCAGTAAGGACTGAGGTCTTGAAAATTTATCACCGGCCGAGTTTGGTATGTATTTTACTGTATGCCAACGATAAATTTATTTTCTGGACCGAAGCTCTTAGCCGACTTAGGAACGAGACCATCCAAAAATGTTGGCTTAAGTGCATTCTGGTAATGCATTTTTGACCGTGGTCAATTTGCTTACACCAGTTATTACCACACCTCTCTGGCTAATGTATTTGAATAGGCCAGGCATACAGTAAAACATTAAACAGGCATGAGCATTCATGCTGCCAGAAGTGGGCCAGCTGTAAAAGGGATAAGGTATGCCGATTGGCAATTACCACGGTCACGCCAATCTCATCAGCCCCGTTATACAGCTAACATAGAAGTGCCGACTATCGTGGCTTGATCGGAGGCTCGACAGCGGTTACCAAAATACTGTGACGTAACCTTCCGATATGAGGAGTCAAGGTTTGGGTCCCGGTCTCAGGTACCGTCGGCGGTCGTGGCTCAGCGCTCTCCACTCTCAGACAGCCGATATAGACTGGGCCGGCCGTCACATATCACACATCGCCGATCGTCACAGGACGAGCCGCAGGCTATGTCCATCGATTGGAAAGGACTACCGCCGAACATACCCCGCCCACTATCAGCCGTCGCGCATATCCCTACCCGCATTTCTTTGAATCCGCACATCGTCGCCGCCTTTTTATCCCACCATCCTTCGCAAAATCCTTCGGGAAACATTGACCTAGCGACTGGTAGGACTAGGTAAAATGTTTGTATACGATATACGTACATCCCTTGATGAAATCCGTGTTTCTTGTTTAAACCTGGGTATACAGAAACAACCACGGGTTTTCACGAGGCTCGTTCGCACCGCTCGCTCGGCGCTGGCTGTGTCGGTAACCCAATTGCAGCATCTCGAGTGGGGGAGAGGGGGAGGGTCCACGCCCCACGGCCCTCTTCACACAAATTGTAACACGAAATAACACAGTAAGCACAAGATACATTTAACCTTCGCACTTATGGGGAGGGGTCGAACGGACTCCCCTCGGTTTTTCGCGAATAGCTCGCGCAAAAAGCGGCTGATCGTGACAAACTTTCAGTACCCTCGAGTTATTCAAATTTACAAATACCCTGAAAAGTTCATGAGTCATGACCCTCACCCAAATGACCTTTGACCTGTGACCTATTTCTCGAGACCATGGCCCTGTTTCACCGGTGATAGCAGCACGCTGCTTTTACACGTGTCAAATTGGGTTTCTATGGAAACATCAACAGGCTCATTGCTCCAACACTACCACAAGTGTGACGTCAGCTCGCGCAATTTGATAGCAGCGTGGTAGCAGCGTCTCGTGAAACACCGCCCATGTTTGGCCGAAATCGCGATCCGGCGTAGGTATGTCGGACAGTTATCGGTTCACATTCCGAGCGCCTGCAGTCTTTTGTGGTTTTAAACGTTCAAATATGCGAAATGATGTTGGTTTCATGCAGTATGGTGGGTGTCAAGGTCACGTGATGGTCAGGTCAAGGTCATTGACTTTTAATGGCCTTGGATCACGTTTTCGAGTTTTACATGTTTCTAGGGTAGTTTTTATAGCTGATTTCGAATTTAGCAAAAAATTGAATGTTTAAGAAGCAGTTTTGGTGCCTTCCTAATATGTTACAAAGCTGTAATGGTGGTTGCACTGGTTGACAAATACTTTAAATAAGGCAGGATGCCTACTGGTTAATCTGAGCTGACCTGATCCGACCTGGCCTTCCAAACTAAATGCATGAAGACATCATCTGTGATCAGAACCAAAATGAGATTTGTGATCAGCACTCTGAAAAAATAACCTCTAACATCATTTTGCCAAGTCCTATCAGGTCCCAGCCTTCCAAACTTTTGGGTCGCTGACAGGAGCGGAGAATTGTCATAATCCCAGGAGGTGCTTTTCAGCACCTGGCGAATGGAAGCGTCAAATTTTTTAGTAGAAAAGCACATAGAAGTACGCTTTCCCGACAGCATCACTCTTATCGTGACTTATGCAAAGCAGTTTGTGTCTCAGAAGTAATTTAAGCAACCACTGGAGCACTATTATATGGTGACCTTTGAATTTCAGGGGGTGCTCGAGCACCCCCAAAACCTCTAATTCTCCACCCGTGGTCGCTGACCTGATCTGGAAGGTCAACCAATGACCTAAGACCTTAATATCGGGTATCATCGACTTCCTCTGGTCACGAGCAGCATGCTCATTTTTTCCACGAAGCTCTAGCTCAATCAGGGGCCGAACAGCGGGGGTCCAATCGTCCCCCACCCCTGGCAAAACTGGCAAAACACCAATACAGGCTGGCAAGAGTTTAAATGCAATTTGGTAATAAGAATGAAAAGGGAATTTTGATATCTGTGATCTAAGTTCAGGTCAATTTTACGACCTCTCTGTTGCAAGACAATGGGAAAAATTGAAATGCGCCTCTTATAGACGAACAACGCTCTCAACATGCTCAAATATCAGTTTACAGTAAAACATGACACTGAATCAGAAAATGTCACACATGACCCCTCTTTATCCCCCTTCGTGGTCCCTATTGGTTTAAAAGCTATGCACTGGTTTGTCAAAAATTGTCATTACAGCCAAAATCTGAATTTTAAAAACCTCTGGGTCCTGTTTCTCAGTACCGCGCAGCAGCATGCTGTGCACAGCGGTGTATGGGATTTCCATGGAAACATCAACAAACTCAGACGGTCGCAGCAGCGCTGGAGCATCAAGCCAAATTTGTCTAAAATGTCGCATCAATACATCAGTGCACCGTCTGACAGACATGTGCATTGATCCGAGAAAATGGACCTGGGATCTGATCCCACGGATCCTGATCTCGGATCCGACGGGATCAAAGATCCAGCTCTGTAATTTTTCGAGAGATCCGTATGGATCACAGATACGAGTCTCATTTTTTGCTTGAGATCCAGTGAGATCATAGATCCTCACTTATCTTTTGTCAACACATATATCCCAAAAAAGCACTTGCTACAACTCACAAACATTCTGCTTTAGTGATTTTATGTGATCGCACGTCATAATCCATAGTTTTTGTGTCACTAATTGGCATAGAAACCCTTTAAAACGTGGTTTCAAATGTGGTGCCTGATGGGATCCACTCAGATCATAGATCCATGTTCTTAATTTGTCAGATCATATGAGATCATAGATCCAAGAAGTATTTTTCACGCCGGATCCTGTGGGATCATAGATCCCAACCTGTACTTTGCTTCGAGATCCACTGAGATCATAGATCCATCACTCGGATCCATGCACATGTCTGCCGTCTGAAGTACCAGGCCACAAAACAGGGACCTGGACGGTGACCTATTAACCGGACCTAAAAACGACTGAAGCATTATCTTCATTATTTCATGCTCTTTCGAATGCCACTTATCGCCTGTCAAAACCTTCCTTGCTTACTTCAACTTACTTATCTTTCACCTTCCCCCTATATATAGGTATATAGGGCCTTGACTTTCACTTTGTTCACAAACCTTTTCCTCCTTGTTCCGGGACTTAGGGCCTTAGTCAGGAAGCCTTGCACGGTATATAGAAGACGTTGCCGGCTGCCGCACCCTGTTATGATGTATAACCAATTTCAATTACAGCGCTCAGAATTATTACGATGCTTTGCGATAACCAAAAACGCAGTTGTCGGAAAATGAAACGAGCGCAATCCAAGCGCAAGCATGAGTACATATTTATAGTCACCGTGAGCATGAGAAGACGTGTAAGAGAAATTTGGTAACAACAAAATGTTGCAGCTGAGACGCATTTGAGACATTCATGGCAGAGTAAATTGTTCTGCATTCTTCCCCCAAAGGCCAAAAAAGGCATTTTTGAATGAAATATCCCCCAAATCATTCTATGCAAATCATCATTTGAGATAGCATTTTTTAATTTGACATGAGCATTGGAACTAAAAAGTTGTAGTTTTGAGCGATTGACGAGTTCGTAAGGTAGTCTCCAAATTTGCCTGAACCCTGGTGAAAGGAAAACTTCACAGTGATATGACGTCATTTTAATTTGCTACCAAAAAACCCTTCCAATATCGTCATAAATTGATCCTTGATGTTTGCTTGTTTACTGCAAGTTGACTGCAAGGGGCATTTGCATTTGGATTTCGGAGAACGCGCTGTGATAAAATAATCGTCTAGAGTCCAGATTGATATATATAATAGTCCAATATTTTTTGGACATAAAGCTTTAAAAATTTACTTTACCTTCGTTCTCTGTTTCAATGTAAAATGGCTTTAAACTTGCCACCAGTTCCTGCTATATTGAAACCTATTCAACATTTTCTGAAAGTTGCCTCAGAACATGAAAAAAGGGATCCTGTCATCACTTACTGGTGTGAGTTTTTGTTGTGTTTTGCATGCATGGTATTTTTGTCACTGTTGAGCTTTTTCATGTGATCATTTTATTTTAAAGAGACCCTAAATAGATCACAATTCACAGACAGGCAACCACCCCAAAGATTAATATTTTATACCAGGGCGGTGTTTCACTGCAGAGTGCTGCAGTGTGCTGCGCGTGTCCACGCATTGGGTTTCCATGGCAATATCAACAAACTTCACCCTGACCCTCAGCTATAACCATTGCAAAATGCTAGTGCGCCGTGCCGGCAGCGCCAGCAGCATGCTAGCAGCATTCACACTCAACCCTCGGTTCTCTTTGTACTTGTTTTTTTAGGACCTCTGTTCCTAACTCGATTCATCATAAGCTAACGAATCGCACACAACGTTATTCGAGTGACAACAGGGCTCCCAGCGCGCTGCAGAGCACGCAGCGTCAGGCAGTGAAACAGGGCCCAGGGCTGCAAAGTTGAGTCAGTTTGAGTCGGAGTCGGCAGTACTGACAAGTCAGAGTCAATTTTGGAAAATAGAGTTGGAGTCAGTCATTGATAATCCATGAACTGCAGAGCTAGCAGGGCTGTGGAGTCTGAGTTTGAGTTACAGTCCAGTCTGCAAAGCATGGCAATTTTGGCAGGAACTTGTCAGTGCGGGCTTGTTCGGCTGGTGCGGACTTAGTGCGGTGTGGTGCGGAGTTGGTGGGTGCCGATTCTGGCTTGGTGCGGTACAGATTTGGCTCAGCAACGGACATGACAGACCAGATGAGATATATAAGGAAAATCAAAGAGTTGGATCTTGAACAATGAACATGTAATTCAGTATGCTCTCGTGTCTAATTGAGTGTGGGGTGGTCAGAACGGACTATGCACGTGGGTCGCCCGCAAGTCGCACTGTTATTACACGAACCGCACCCAACGGTAGAGTGACAGGGATGAGCAGGGCGATGGCAGGGACTCGAGATGTGCACCATGCACGGCCGATGGCAGGAGTAGACCCCCCCCCCCCCCCCACCTTTCCACCGTTACAAGCAGTCAAATGCGAACGATTTATTGTGTTGTGTATGATTCACGCAGCCAATAAGTTGCATGGAAAGAATCTGAGGCTGTTGCATTCTGCAGCATTGTAAACGAGATGCGCTCGGCTTATGTGAGTTTGGTGTTGTCGCTCGGTGGTAGGGCGAGATGCACATGGCTGATGACAGGCCTTGAGGACCACCACATAACCGCGGCTAAGTAGTCAAATCGGCTGTGAATGACTTGCCGATCAGATTTGTTGAACAAGACAGCTGTTGACCCAACGATAGTTGTAAAAAAAATGCATGCATGAGATGATCCCACATTTAGCCGTTCATACCTATCTTTATTTCTATAACTGGGTATATGTTGTCAAGCCGTTTAGTTAAATGGCGTAGGTATTTCTCCTTTCGTTTCCAATCCATACTACTGAGAGTGCAGGCTGGTGGCTCATATCACTAATTTAGGTCAGTGCGGATCAAGATTACTTTACTAAAGTGCGGATGTAAACTGGTCATTTTTTGGGTTCAGGGCGTTTTTTTGTACTCAAGGCCACCCCACATTGGACCTCGCATGCGGGTTGCGAGTTTTTGGGTTTTCGGGTTTCTTCCAAATAAAAGAATATATGTTGGCAATTCCGACTCGCTAACTCTATTTCATCAGGAGGCGAGAAACTCTTACGACCCTAGTGACCATGCAGGGTCAACAATGCAAAAGTGAAGCATCAAAACTTGCAAGGATTGCATGAAATCACGATTTACGTGTGGTTGAGATAGTTAAAGATCGTTCCTGGCGCCAAAATAGCAGTTTCATTTTCTCCCATTGACTTATAATGGTGAGGTCACGAAAATGACCTGACCTCATATGACCTTTAGGAAAACTCTGAGATAGACAGGACGTTGTGAGACTCCTAGTCCTAATGGATACTAATTACTAGCTTTTGAAAGTTTCATCTCCCTGGGATAGCTCCTCTGGTACTGAAGGCGTTGCGAAGTGGAGACATCTGAAGACCATGCAGAGGTTCACTTATGAAATCATAGGTCAGTGACCTGACCTGACCCTAAAATACGGTTGGTGTCAAAAGATCCGGCTTGAATCAAAGGTCATGTATGCCAAATTTCAGCTCTCCATCGCCAGCGTGTTCGGAGCTATCACGAAAAAAAAACAGTGGGGAGTGGCACCCCCCCCCCCCTCCCTCGGGCAGCGAGGGTTAACTCAATGGTCAGTTATGCCGCAATTCAGCTGTTTATCTCTTAAGCTTTCCAAGCAATCGCACCAAATCGCCCATAGGTTGGCACCACCCCTACCTCGCACCAGCCCAGTCAGCAAGGGAGGTTTGAGGCCGAATAAACAAACAAATAAATAAAGCTGTTGATTGACGCATTGTTGTTGCCTTCTCTGTTTCAGGTCGTTTGTATGCTCTCCAGACGGGTATGGGAATTGACAAGTCCAATGAGTCGCTAGCCATTCTCATTCCCTTGATGGATTGGCTGGAAAATACCAAAAAGGTACGTTATTCGTCAATAATGGCCTTTGTGTGCTCTGGTTGAACTCGGTATATACCTCGGTACCTCTGACCTTGGTATACAGAGGTTCTATGCGTCAATATAATTATTTTTGCAGTTGTTTGATTCGTTTTGATCGTATTTCCACCATAAAGTCTATTGTTGGATAATTAAAGAACGTAAAACACATGTGTCTTATATTTCCGTATCCGCCACTGATCGATATAAACATAAATGACTGACTTCAGTCGTTTGTGTCAGGCAGTGCACACACGACAGTTATTCAAGTGACTCGACCACTGCTGACCTGTACCCCCCCGTCCCCGCGCAAACACCCATAGGCCAGTACCGCCAATGAGGCTATCGTCCAGGATGTGGTGGCGCAGGCGCACGTGGAAAACTACGCCAACCGTCTGTTCCTCTGGGCAGATAAGGAGGATCGGGCAGCGCGCTTCAACAAGTCGGTGAACGACCTCAGGCTGACCTGGCTTGCCCGAGCAGCTCGCTGGTATTAGGTCGCTTGATATTGATAGTTGATTGATTCTCATTATCGTTGCTCACTCTGATTGTGGGTTTCAACTTTCAATAGACAGTTGATTTGAATTGTAAAATAAGTCGAGATGAAGAAAAATCAATTCAGCATTGAGTTCCCTGGAGTCATGATACAAATCGATAGCCTGGTGAAAAAAGAAAAGCACAGCTGATGTGAGTGGACTTCGCTTCGATATTATTTTTTAGAATGATTTATAGTGTCGTACGTTCGAGACAACTCAACACAACTATCTACAAGTTCTAACTTCGCCACTCCCTCTGTCCTAGGAACGTGGTGAAGGCCTTCTACACAGCGGGCGTCATCTTCGACGTGTGTGAGACGTTCGGCGAGCTCTCTGTGGAGGTGCAGGAGCAGCGCAAGTACGCCAAGTGGAAGGCGGCGTATATCCACAACTGCCTGAAGAACGGCGAGCAGCCGCAGCCGGGGCCCGCCGGCGGCGGAGACGGTAGGTGGCACGGGGTCGACCCAGAGGCAGATCTGTAAAAGTTGCTAGTGGTGACTGGTAAGACCTGTAAATCGTTGTTAGGGTCAAGATTCTTGGGGTGAGAAATGGATCGAAGTAAAGGCGAAACTGATTTTACATGGTGTGCGACGCCCGACGGCGACGCGATTGTTTCCTTTTTCTATTATTGTATTCATATTTTATTATTATTATTATGTTTTTTTATTTTTTTAATTCATCGCATACATCGTAATTTATTCAACAAGGTACCTACTTGCATCATCCTGCTTTTTGTCTCTGTTATATCGACAGTTCCCAGCAAGAACATCCTAAGTGTCAATTTCGAAAAATTTGACACTTTCTTGCTGGGAACTGTCGATATTTACCTTAAGTATTTACCTTAAGTAAAGGTCATTAGGTACCCTTTCGAGTAATCAGACTCGAAAGGGTACCTAATGACTAGAACATTCGAGATATGTTCTAGATACACAGGCGTTATCGATATATCAAGCTGAAGTATTGAATGTCATAATGGGTTCAGCCAATGCGAAGATTCGTTGACCAATGATATTGAGAATCGATGACTTAATTGCCAGTGAGCCGATTCTGCTGACGTCTTATTCGTCTTGTATTTGGCAGACGAAGCAGAAGGCGACGTTTCGCTGTCGGTGCCGTCACAGCCGCAGGAACCGGGCCCCTCGGAGCCTCACCCAGTGGGTTTCCACCAGCCGCAGGACCCGGCACACAGCGCCTACCAGCCCCCGGCGGCTCCCGGCCCCTACCAGCCGGCTCCGACCCCCTACCAGCCGGCTCCGACCCCGCACCACCCTCCCCCGGCGGCACAGACGCCCACACCCGCCCCGCCGGCCCCGGCGCCGCGCGCCGCCGCTGCGAGCGGCTCGGCCGTCTCACTCAACTTTGATCAGATCGCCAAGGCACAGAAATACAGCAAGCTGGCGTACAGCGCACTGAACTACGAGGATGTGCCGACAGCAGTGGCGAACCTGCAGAAGGCACTGACGCTCCTACAGACCGGCCAGGACTCTTAGGCGGTAGGCGGAGGGGCGGATAGCAGAACGGGGAGGAGGGGGAGGTTGGTACGAGATGGGCGGGGAGACAAGGAGGGGGGTAAGAGGCGGGCGGGTGGCACCGGAGATTGATCCAGGTATGGATAGTGAGTGCCTGGGAGGGACGCGCTTTGGGCGATCGCAACACCTGCGTAAGTGATAGCTTTTGTCGCTGCCGAGATGTGTGAATGATGCTGGTAGATATCGATTGGTGAATGTTTCACCAGGTATTATGCTATGAAAGTGTGAGTTTTCAACTTCATCTACACTCGCCATTTTGCACATGGTAGATTTGAGTGTGCACCGTATTTGGTAGTACGTGTGTGCTCACATGGAATGAAGTGGCCATTTTCGTGTGCTAGCTTAACCAAGTCAAGTTGAATCGGCTAAATGCATCCCGTCATATAATCAACCAGTGAGTTTCATTTCGTCTTGCTAATTGAACAAAATGGAACGGATGGATAAGTGAAAGCATAGTTTTGTCTCGGTAAGCAGGAATGCCTTTGAGATGCTTCTTTGTCTGATGAAAATAACTGCGCTGTTCAGCAGTGTTCGGTCCAGATTAAATGAGATTTGATAGTTGCTACGCTACTGAACTGAAAGTATTCAAGAAACTCGGGATAGCTCAAGTTGATAGGGCTTATCCGGAAACATTTGATGTTAGCGCAGATGGACGTTTTGTGGCCATTTACTTTTTCTTTCAGCGCATTTGAAAGGCATTGTCTTCAGTGTGTTTTGCGCCTCACCGGGAATTGCTTAGGAGGCTGAATGACGTTCTTTGTCGGCATATATATGTTGTTTATTGTCGCGTCAGTGATGATATCTTCCCAGTCATGTTTCTTGCAAGGAGTGATATCGGCGGCCTCCACTGCTTGTGCTTGACTGCACCAATATACTGGCCTCGATCCACCAATTGCATTTTTTGTGAAAGGGCTCGCTTCTCGGCGATGCATTCGATGGAGAATCAGCCTGCGCTAACTTCAGCGACATACGTCAATCAAAGCTGAAGGTATGTTGTAAATGTTGCTCGAACAGACATTGGACTAACGTATAGTCTGTAATTAACCAAAATCACCTACTCGCGTATAACGTATTTTGGCAAAGGATTACAATCTCCATTCTCCACATTCAATGAGAGTATGATGTGGCTGTGAATTGTGATTATTTGCTCCACTGACGTCAGATCATGTGGCGGGCATGTCAAAAATAAGCTAGGGCTGTCAAGCTGCGTAAGTGGAAACCTGTTCGGGACATGCCACTGTTCCTGCTTTCTCAGGTTTCCCAGCAAATGAAAAGCCGTTTTGGGGGAATTTCTTCTCTCGGTCACTTCTGATTTGTTAACAGCTACTTCTACCAGCAGTGAAATATCACGTTTTGAACAGAACAGTTCAGAAAGTCTTGTTTACCGACAAAAATGGCGCAAAATATTCGAAGCGCGAATGACAAGTAAAAAGCTGAGGCGCGCCAGTGCAGAAGTGTGGAGGAAGTGATAAGTTGTAACCTGGGCCCTGTTCAAGTGTCTGCGGCCGCCGCGGCTCCCGCGGCCAAAAAGGCGGAGCTTAGCTGGCGGCCAATCAGGCGAGAGCAGCATTCTGGGTAATGCGTAGCTCTTCCTGCGGCTCCCGCGGTCGCTCGGGAGGCGTATATTCGGTTGCAGTATGAGCAGAGCATGGGTCCCGAAAAATTCCTCAGAAACTAGAGAAATTCTCGGACACACACGACGGACCACCATATGAATGCGGGTGAGACTAAATGCTTACTTCGAAATTTAAGCTGCGTTGCGGCATTGGCGGTTATGTGCGGCGTGTATGCCGCATGATTAGTAAGCGGCGACCACTAAATTAAAAACTCAATAGCTTTGACCTGTTTTCAATGGATAACACTGCATACCAAAAATGTCCATCGCTCTCGTCATAGGATATTTAGATTTAAATAACTAACTTATCTACATCATCGTTTTGAACCAAATTAATGCTTTCAACTTGACGCTCGCCCGTATAGGCGTTTTTTTTTCAGCCGCGAACGTATAAGGTATAACCCCTTGCCGTTTCGCTCCTGATCAAGCTAGAGCTTCGCGGAAAAAAAACCAGCGTGTTGCCCGTGACGAGAGGAAGCCGATGATACCCAATTTTAAGGTCCTAGGTCATCGGTTGACCTTCCAGGTCAGGTCAATGACCCAAAAGGCAGGAAAATTGGGACCTGTTAGAACGTTGGACGTGGTGAACGTGGGACCTGAAAAAGTTGCACCTCTATGTAATATGTGGGTTCGATTATTCGATATACTGTGTGACGTTCCAAGAACTATTTGGGAAAAGTTGCACCTCCGGAGAGACGGACGGACGGACGGAGAGACGGATGGACGGACGAAGAGACTGATGACGGACGGACGGAGAGAGTGACACTGATGGACGGACGGATGGAGAAACGGACGGACGGATGGACGGACTGAGAGACGGAAGGGCGGACGGACGGACGGACGGACTGAGAGACGGAAGGGCGGGCGAACGGACGGAGAGACGGACAAAGAGATGGACAGACGGACGAGAGAGAGAGAGAGAGAGAGAGAGAGAGAGAGAGAGAGAGAGAGAGAGAGAGAGAGAGAGAGAGAGAGAGAGAGAGAGAGAGAGAGAGAAGGGTGGTGAGAGAGAGAGAGAGAGAGAGAGAGAGAGAGAGAGAGAGAGAGAGAGAGAGAGAGAGAGAGAGAGAGAGAGAGAGAGAGAGAGAGAGAGAGAGAGAGAGAGAGAGAGAGAAGGGTGGTGAGAGAAAGGAGGATCAGATGAAGGAAAAGACTTAGAGATATGGATATTAGGTACTTGTCAGAGACTCGGGGAGGACGGGAAGGAGACTGATACCTAAAGAGAGGAAAGATGATCGTGAGCAAGGGGTTTGGGAGATAGGTAAGGAGACAGGGGAAAATGAGATTTTATTGCTCCGGTCCCAATAACACTTCCCAAAATAAAATATAATTGGTCGTAATTATCGAATAAGAATCGGAAATTGTCAATTGAACGTCTGATTTGCTTACATCGATCCGCCCTATACCCTGTTTGACATGTTTGCACCAAAGCCAACTTGCAGGCTATACATCGAGCCAGTGGTATATACTATACAATAAATACATCTCTCCCGGTGGTATACCTGCATAGAGCCGAGACCTCCGGCTGTATTTTCCCACGATCAGCCGGATTGCAAAGCCGTGTATTTTTCGTCCGTTGCAGGCGGCCGGCGCAATCTCCGTGAAAGAAGCGCTCCAGTGACAAAAGCACGAGCAGATCGCCTAAATGCCGGTGGCCGCGAGAATTTCTCTAGTTTCTGAAGAATTTTTCGGGACCCATGCTCTACTCATACTGCATCCGAATATACGCGCTCGGGAGCGACCGCAGGGAAACTTCGACATAAACTGCGCGCGTGAGACAAAACATTGCGGATTTCGCGCTTTGTTTCGGTTAATTTTATTATGTTGTTAAGGAATAATTGCTTCAAAAAGGTACTAATTGAAGTAATAAAGCCGTTATAGAGCCATTACACACAAAATTTTGATCAGCATCTCCTTTCAAAACAACCGTGCCATTCTCGTCGCCGGCCGCAGCGGCCGCAGCCGCGAGGGTGTTCAACCTAACCGAAATTAGGCTCCGCCTCCCGGCCGCGGGAGCCGCGGCGGCCGCAGAGCACTTGAACAGGGCTCTGAAGAGGTTGGTCGCATTTTTATTTTGTATTTATTTTAAGTTCCATTATATTGTTTTTATTGATGATTATAGCGACATGATATTTTAGATAGAATTGCTCATAAGTCCAAAACCACTTCAGTGAATCTGGAATCATGAATGTGACTATTCCCATTGGATTTTTGCTTGTCTATCTCATTCTCAAATTTTTTGTTTATTAGCCATTATAATAAGCCATTTTGCCGCAACCTGCTTATTGGTCATGACCAATTTGGTCGCTGTGTGCAGAGGGGTGTTCACGGGCACCGCAAACTGCTGAGTGCGGTCACCGCCACCGGTGTGTGCTGTGTGTGCAGCAGGGCCCTAGCGCTGTTCGGCGGCCGGCCAGCGCGCTAGCCCGCGCACATATACGTGCACGTTGCCTTGGCAACGGGCTATTGACCAATGAGAAACGCGCTACAGGGGGCACAGGTATATGAAAAATCACAGTGACGTTGCACTTTCCTCGCTTCTCATTGGTCAATAGGTAGCCCGTTGCCGGGGCAACCAGCACGTATGTGAGCACTGGCAAGAGTACTAGCCGGCCGCCGATCAGGGCCCCTGTTTCACCGGTGATAGCAGCATGTTACTATCAAATTGCGCGAGCTGACGTAATGTGATGACGTCACACTAATGACGTTTTGTGTAATCCGTGAGCTTTTTCATGGCTACGTTTGGAACAGAGTTGCTGTCTCGTTAAATGCGTTTGATACATTCGCACGGCCGTGAAGATGTTAGCAGCAATATTTGATGACATCACACAGATTGACGACGGCATGGTTTGTTGATGTTTCCATGGAAACCCAATTTGACACGTGTGATAGCAGCATGCTGCTATCACCGGTGAAACAGGGCCCTTGTGTGGGGTGGGGAATGGGTAGGCGGTTCTGACGTCACGGCTGTGTGCGGTGGGTGGTCCGCTGTGGCCAGTCCCAACCGGCCACAGCGGTCGCTGTGTGCAGTGAAGGAAGGCTGACGTAGGGAGTAGGGACCCATTGGGCGGAGCTTGGAGGCTGTGTACGGTCCGACCACTTACAGGGCCCGTGAACAGCCCTCAGGCATCCAGCGCTTGTAAGAGTGAGACGCCTGCTATATGAATACCACTTCTGGTGCTGGCTGCAGAAGTGTAGGGCTGCCACAGATGTTAGGTCCTTCTGTTCCTGAAGCAGTAAGGTTTTATGACATGCTCCTATTTTTCATTGTTGTGTACAATTTAACCCCATGTTCTGATCTATTATGCAATTCTTTTGTTTCTTATTTTTATCTTATTTTACCATCAATGGAACAAGATAATTAGGCTATGACTGTGATTTTAGCATATTTTTAAGCAATTGGTAGCACTCCTTTATATTTTTAATTGCTTTTATTTTCAGCAAAAGTGTCATATGGCTTGCTAATATCCAAAGCTGCCCCTTCAGTTGTCTCTCAGTCCGGGTTTTCTCATTGGCACCTCCGCACCACAGCACCCACTCCGTATGTCCGAGATGAAGGAGACGGCGCCGGCCCGCGCCGCCGAGGCGGACGACTCGGACGAGCCGCAGGACGACTCGTCCAGCGTGTGCAGCACGTCCACGGCCGACGTCTCGTCGCGCGGAGACACGCCCACACAGCGGCGCCGGCGGCGGCGCGGCCGCAAGCCTGCGCCGGCCCACTGCAAGGTGGAGTACCGGTACACGGCGCACGCGCGCGAGGAGCACGGCCAGCCGCTGTTTGGCGTCCAGTTCAACCCGCACCTGCGCTCCTGCAGCCAGCAGGCGGTGGCCACGTGCGGCGGCCAGCGACTCTCCATCTATGAGCTCACAGGTGCGTGGCAGACTTTGTTAGAACTTCCTGCCCATGTAACCTGGATATCTGGATATCAATTTTGGATTAGCTGCAATGAACGATGACTGTCTTTTGCTGTGTGCAATATTTTGTTGAACTAGAACTAGATAATGACCCCATATTCCATCCTGCCGCCATCGCCAGACAACTCACTGAAGCTGGTCCAGTGCTACTCGGACCCGGACCCGGACGAGAATTTCTACACGTGCGCCTGGAGCTACGAGCCGTCTTCTGGCCGGCCGCTGCTGGCGGTGGCTGGCGCGCGGGGCCTCATCCGCATCATCAGTACAGCCACCATGACCTGCACCAGACACTTTATCGGTCAGTCAACTGGGGGCGGTGTGTGCATCCAGTCCCTCAAAGTCGTTCGATTTGATTAATTGTAGACCAGGTGTTGCATTGCCTTTCTGAATACTATCAATTCATGTGCATTTTGTGCATTCTTTTAGCAGACGTGACAGCCTTCAGAGGTCAGTGAGTGCTGTAACAGGTTTGGGCGCAAATGACTTTGCAGTCGATTTACCCGAAAACTTATAAGCTTATCATTCCGCCGCTGCCAAAACCCGAACCCCAACTCCTGCCCCCCGACCTGACTGCTGACCCGTTCCTCCGCCGCAGGTCACGGTCACGCGGTGAACGAGGTGAAGTTTCACCCGCAGCAGCCGGCTCTGCTGCTCTCGGTCAGCAAGGACCACACGCTGCGACTGTGGAACGTTTCCACTGACGCGTGTGTGGCCATCCTGGGTGGAGTGGACGGCCACCGGGACGAGGCGCTCAGTGCTGTGAGTACCGGCTGTGGCACGGGGCTAGAGATGGCAAAATGTGGACCCGAGGACCCGGTCCAAAGAACCAGTCTGGACCCATATGGGTCCAGACCGGTTCCTGGAAATTTTCTGACGGGTCCAACTGGGTCCTACCAATTATCATAAACTATACATCTTGCACACTACACATTATTGCAAAATATGAAGTGAATGAAGTGAATGTTTCTTCACACACAGTAGCTCATGAGTATTCTCAGTGGGAAAAGGCTGTTTTACATTATGCACCTAATGATACCTACAAGTAATTTGTATTAATTGACTTTTTGGGAACGGGTCCAAATGGTTCCGATTCAAACTTAGACCGGATCCGACTGGTTCCAGAAATGTCCAGTCGGGTCTGGTTCGAGTCTGGTTCCCAAAATTTTCATCTTTTGCCACCTCTACACGGGGCTGCCCGGTATCCTCAGCAGGGGACACTCCGCTGGCCAGAGATGCTGACTGAATGTGCTCACTTTGTAACTCGATAGCCGGACTGTTGGATGTTTTTTTTTTTTAATGAAAACAAAGATGTTGCATATTCATCCTGGTGAAGATTTATGATAGATATCTGCGTATTCGTTATAACGAGGTCTATGAATGTATGCATGAATGCTGCGAAAAGTTTGAAAGGATGTTTACGTTACCAGGGGACCTCCCTGCTGGTCTCAGGTCTCAGACTGACCCCCTTCTCCCTCCTGCCCGCCACAGGACTTCAACCTGATGGGTGACCAGGTGATCTCGTGCGGCATGGACCACTCTCTGAAGCTGTGGAACCTGGCCGATCCGGAGGTGGTGCGTGCCATCGAAGCGTCCTACACGCACGAGCCGGGCCGCTCGGGCTGCACGGCCGAGGTGCACTTCCCCGAGTTCTCCACACGCGACATACACAGGAACTATGTGGACTGCGTGCGATGGTTTGGGAAGTTCGTCCTATCGAAGGTGAGGAGTGCTAACTTGCGGCAGGGTCGGAGGCAGAGGGCGGCACGGTGAGCTGTTTCGGAACGTAATTGGGAAAAGGAAGGAACAAGTGTCCGGCTCAGATTCTGAAATGTCAAAGAATTCCGGGAAGATGTTTGTATGTCGAGTTTATGTTCCATTTCTGATCGCTGTGTAACGCGTAATCTATTGGTGAAAATGAATTCACTGGCGCACGGCTTTTACCGATGGCTCTGAATACGTGAATGCTGAACCTAATTTTAAATCAGTACACAACTAAATAGTGGTTCCGGGAAGTATTGCGTTGCATCGTAAATGCGGATGGGGAGTGCCCGGTGCAGTCCTGGCGCTACTTACTATACCGCCCCAGCCTCTCTGCCCTCCCCGCCTCTGCGTGCGCCGTGCTTTAACCCGCTGTAACCGTGTGACTACTTACTATACCGCCCCAGGCTCTCTGCCCTCCCCTCCTCTGCGAGCTTTCACCGACTATGATCGACCGACATTCTGACCGTCACCGTGTCGCTCCACCAGTCGTGTGAGAACTCGATCGTGTGCTGGAAGCCGGGACTGCTCACCCAGTCCGGTGTCAGCCACACGGATACTAACGTCACCGTCATACACATGTTCGACTACAAGGACTGCGACATCTGGTTCATGCGCTTCTCCATGGACTTCTGGCAGCGGGTGAGACTAGACTTTTGACGTTGGTTGTGTGGGTTGATGATTGAAGGGAACAGTGGTGTTTGTTGATATTGTTAGTTGTTTTGTTACTGAGCTGGCCAACCATCTTGGACAATGGACATCATTGATCTTCGTCCTGCTTCACCATTAGTAAACCAATCGTGGCCCCTGAGGATCCCTTGAATCAGATGTCCCTCTTGGAGACGTCCTGGAAGTGGCGACTCTGCTGTCCCTGTGAACGCTGTCGGTGCGTTTGCGGCATTAACTGACCGGGTGCACTGTCCTGTCGACAGATTCTGGCGCTGGGTAACCAGGTGGGCCGCACCTACGTGTGGGACCTGGCCGTGACAGACCCCACGCACTCGAGGTGCACGGTTCTGAGCCATCCAAAGTGCACCACGGCAGTCCGACAGACCGCCGTCTCACCAGACGGCGCCACCATCATATGTGTGTGTGATGATGCCACGGTGTGGCGCTGGGACCGTGTATAGGTGGCGCTAGTGTTTTGTTTATAGGTGGCGCTCGTGTAACTGGTCCGACCGGGGAATCGTGATCTCGGCTTTGTGTGAGGCCACAAGAGCCTCTGGTTGTGACTGGTGGGAGTGCGGTTCAGTTCGCGACCGTGATAGGAACTTCTAAATGACATTGCTCATCTGTATCTGCCCATCAGTTAGCGATTGTATCCGGTGAACCAAGCCGACTGTTTCGTGAATCATGCATCATTCCTGTTGGGCGCGAAACTCATATGCGAAATATACTTGGTGAACCGTTTGTTACATGACTTGCTGCTCGATTTCCAGTTCATGTAAAGCTCGTGAACATTAGCCAGGACAATTGTAGAAAACTGATTGCAATTGCTTCGTAGGAGCATTGTAGGTGCACCGAGGGTAAGGTACATAGCACATCCTCAGATTGGACGTTGTGAACTTTAGAGGTCAATTTAATGCCCGACCGTCATAATTGACGTTTTTTTTTACTGATATTATGCCTGTGCATATTCTTTTTATGCGAAATGTTACGAAAAACGTTTTACCCGCGTCATGTGAGACGCGTTGAATCACAGACCACTATATAGACCGATATATAGTGGCTATGGTTGAATGATTTATAACTAACCGATGATCAACTTACCCGCGCCCTATTGGGCTGATCGTCAAAATTCAAAAAGCGTCTGATAGCCCCGGAAAAACTGTCGAGCGAAACCTAATTTCATTGACCTCGAGGTCACCGATGACGTCACAGGTCAGGTCAAAGTAAAAATTATTAGAATTTTGGCTTGTTCACATTTTGGGCTCTGGCCGCCGTCTTACAAGTCAGATCAGGCTCATTTTTTGTTTACACAATCGTGAACAGATGCTCTAGATACCTTGAGGGTACCAAACTTGTACTTTGATTTTCAGGTCAGGGTCAGGTCATCACAGGTCACGAAATATTATATCATACGTCGGTCACGTGACAAATGTTTTATGGTCCATTTAGGCCATAGATTTCGAATTCGATGTTGTCTGCGTCATTCGATGTCATTTTGAGTCGAATTTAGCTTAGGTCAGGTCATTTTCAGGTAAAAAAAGGTCAAATTTTGAAGTTTAAATTTTTCAACAAAAAAGGTGTCTATTGGATGCAGTTTGAGCTCAGGAACACGGTGGTGCTATTTATATTGGTGTACGATGTCAAATACGTACTGAAAATTGATTTGAAAAATTAAGAACTGTGAATTTTTTTGCAATAATGCGTATAACTTGGCCATTTTTGAAGATATTTAGCTAAAACTTGCTAGAGTTAGTCATAAGCATGCGTTCTGTCACATATATTCCGTTTTTTTCGAAAAGTCGAAAACTTTTTGAAAAAAATATTTTGAATAGGGGAGAACGGGGCCAGTTGAACCACTTTTTATATATTGACATGCACAGCGAGATCTAGCTGTCATATCGAAAAATGCACAATGCCATGAAAAAATATGCTCTTTTGGCTTTATTTTAAGATATGTAAAATTATGTTTCAAACATATTTTGCTGCCAAACGCATGCTTATAAAACAGCTCTACGCCCGTTTCAAATGACCCCGATGCGAGGGTCAATTGAACCAGCCCATGGGGTCAATTCCACCTATCCTTAACAATGGGATGTTTTCCTCTTTAAGGCCACTTTCTTAAGGAGATATTTTGTCCGGTTTACTTTTCCAAATGCTACATTCAATAGGTCTTTGGAAAGCTAAAAGTGCAAAGTTCCTCATAATAGGTGACATAAAGTACATAGACTATGGTAAAATGGGCGAATGAGAAAAATGAGAAATATCTCAGGCTATAGTGTGCTTTCAAGCAAAAGGCTGGAGAAAAAGGGGTCAAAAATTGAGCTCTATTAAACTACTATTTCAGTTTAACCCTCGCCCATGTAGGGGGGGGGGTTGGTGCAACCCCCCCCCCTGAGGTTTTTCGGAAATAGTGCAAAAACGGCGGCGCGCAGCGCCGCCAAATTTTGGGTACCTGATGGGGCAAACCTTGCGCATCTTTTGATAAAAAAAAATTTGACCGGGTCATGTCAGGTCACGGAGTTATGACGTCACAAAGGGAACAGCCTCCGGCCGGATTTTCACAAACTGAGTGCCAACGCCCGAGGTTTCCTGCCGGTGGTACGGACATCGGTAGATGGATCGTGATGAAACTTCCCATGCATGTTGGGGCAAGTATTGGCTATCATATGGTATAAGAAACTTGACCGGGTCAGGTCAGGTCACGGAGCTATGACGTCACAAGAGGAACAGCGTCCGGTACTATTTTTGAAAAGCGCCCGAACCACTATTTTGCTAATTCTTGTCACCTCAATGGGAATATGCAGCAATATTAGCTTCTATAGGGAGCACATGGACCTCCCAAATCCAAAAATACAATCAGATTTCAAAAATTTAAATTTTGATTTTTCGAATTTCTGCCGCCGACTGTGACCTTGCCGACTTCCGGCGCTCCCAACGCGCCATTTTTAGAGCTAGGGAAACGAAATACATACCAAACGATAGAGAATTGATCAAGGAACACGATAGTGAAGGTTTCAAGTCGATATCTCCCACCGTTTTGCCGCAATCGCCGCGGAAAGTTGAAAAAAGTCTATTTTTCCGAAAATTTGACCTTTGACCGGTCAAAAGTAGGTCAAATGTTGACCTAGGACCAAAAAATATACCACCAATCGCGAGATCTCGTTGAGAGCAATCCGTTGGTTTTTTCCGCTAAGCTCTACGACGCTCCGTTTTCAAACGCCAAGGGGGGGTCGCACCAACCCCCCCCCCCTGCATGGGCGAAGGTGGCAGATCGCCGTTTACGGGCGAGGGTTAAAAGCTCATTTCAAAGGTGGACTATTCCCTTTAATGTTTACAGCCCCTGAACAATAACCATTGCAAAGGTCACCGGGGTCCATTGAAACGGCCTGTGGTCCTGTTTCAACTGACCCTCAGAGAAGCGTTTCAATTGACCCCATCCGCTCCCGCCATCTCGCACGCGCCGTAAAGCACATGTCAAACGAGCTGGAGGGACGGCATCATGCTGAATGAAGGGCCAAATAAGGTGTTATTCCGGAGCCAGGAGTTTTTCTTTCAGCAAACAAAGGTATATGAGATATCACAAAATATTCATAAAAACGATTTCTCCCAAACGCCCCTCAAAAACACAAAAACAAGTGTCAAATCAAAATAACCGTCCGTTTGCCGCCCAAACGCCGTTGACAAAGGAAGTGGTCGAGCGCGGATGCGCAGTGGTGTCGGCAACGCCATATGTTGCATACTGTTGAAAATAAAGCCATGTTTCATCTGACCCCGTGTTTCAACTGGCCCCGCTCTCCCCTATTATTATATAACATTTTCGAATTTTTCAAAATTTTGAAAATCCGAGATAGCAGTTTGATAGCGCAGTCAATTCTGAGTCTTTTCATGCAAAGAAATTGGATCTAGCTTGAAAACTGAGCTCTTTGGAGCGATTGCCGTGGTTCAATGTTTTGCGTCGAAATCGGCCGAAAATGACGTCACTCTGACGTCATTTCCGGCCGACCTATGGTAGCTACGAAGTTAAAATTTTGACACAAGGTGTCAAATTGATGCAGCCGAAGGTACTGAAAGTTTGGCGTCGATACGTCAAGTGGTTTGGAAGTTATTGCAGAAAAACGGGAGGGGGCTATGAATAGCCCCCCCCCCCCCAGTGGGGCGCAGGTTAAAACGGCATTCGGAAAAGCTCGAAAATAAGTACGGAAATACTTCGGTTATTTTTTAGGTCACGTTAAAGGTTAGGTCGCCAGAGGTCATCAAATGTCTAATTTTGTCTTTCAATTTTTGAAACAACCGATGCATTACTCGGGAACCAATAGAGCTGCAGCAAGGCGACGAAGCGAATTCGACATCTCTTTTACAGGCTTTTCTGAGCTTTGTTCTCAGATTTGACCTCAGGTCAACGGTTTAGCCTCCAGAGAGCAATAAGCAAAAACCCTACAAATAGCCGTTTTTATGAAATATGTTTTTCGGTAATAACTTTTGACTCAAGAGAGCCACGACATTAAATTTGCCAGCGTCGTGTTCCTCTCGTCGAGACGCGTCGAATGAACTATACGTTGACCTTAAACGGTCATTTTGAAATTTTATCTCAAGTCAAAGGTTATGACCTGACCGTAAAGGGTCATACTGCATATCAGTTGATCCGTATCGTCGAATTGAACACATCTGACGTGTTTTCACCGCACTAGCACGTCTCTATAAAAAGTTGTAAAAAACTGCTGATGGCCTATCGTGACCTGAGATGAGCTCAAAGGCACACAAATGGGTCACGGGTGCAATTTTCCGATTCACTGTGTTACGTTTCCCGATAAATCTATGCTTGAGAGTGTTTAGAACGACATTCGTCCAAAAGAGGCGCATTTCAATTTTCTCCCATTTCGACTTAAAATGGAGAGGTCGCACAATTGACCTGGCTTCAGGTCACAGTAATCAAAATTCCAAAATAACTTTTTTTACATCCTGTTACTCTTACCAACCGCTGAAAGTTTCAAAGCGATCGTTCAGCCAGTGTAGCTTCAGTGAGCCTTCGAACTTTTTCTGAGGTAAAATCACTTGACGTGACCTGCAGACCCTGATGACCTGACCTTGAACGACCCGGATCTGAAATTTTCACAAGATATGTAGAAAAGATTTATGAACAGGTGTACTAAAAAAACGGTGGCGCTGCGTGTCGCCGTTTTGAGATATTCGCGAGAAAAAAAAAACAGAGGGTGGCGCGAAAATGCCCCAAGCACGGCGCGGGTTAATGAAAATATATCGCAAAAACCTGTACTCTAGTGACCTTAAAATGACGAAACGATATACGTGGAAACCAGAAACCCCCTTCTTTTTGTCTGTACATACTACATAGTAATGTCACACGAAATGCCACATTTTACGTGATGCCACCCCAAGCCTGGTGACAGTTGCCCGTCATACGGGGACTGTTACTTGTCAGGGTGACAGTTACTGACTCAGAGCGTGACGTGTCAAATGACAGGACAGCAAGCGATTGGTGGTGTGCTTTAGTTGGGGCTCACTCCGCCCGGATTTCAGTAGGTGAGTTTTGCCAGCCGGAGAACATCGTAGAAAAAAAGCAAGAGGACGTCGAAAGGTGTTACAAAGATGAGTCGTTTTACATTGATGGTACGAGTAAGTTTTACTGTCACGGAAATTAACCGATACTGAGTATGCTTTTACAATGGTGGTTGTCTATTCGTTGGCCATTCCATTTCCTACATACATCATACACCAATGTGTTT